GGGGGGGGGGGGGGGGGGGGGGTTTCAAATATGTAGTAACGTTCACATTTTCAAAAAAGCTATAGGGTATGAAAGTATAATTTACTCAAAAAAAAAAAAGAAAAAAGAAAAAAGGGAGAGAGAAGTCGTCAAATGAAGCTTTTAGTCGCCATTAATCCCCCCCTTCTCTCTCATCCCATGTATGCACACATACACAGCTATAATAGTAATTTAGTTTGTGCCAGAATCAGACGATCCACGTCCATGGCGGCCTCAACCTCTGCTTACCTGAAGCTCCTCAGCGTTGGTACTAAGATCGTCGCCATCGGCCGCAACTACGCCGCTCACGCCAAGGAACTCGGCAACGCCGTCCCCAAGGTCCTCTCTCTCTCTCTCTCTCTCTCTCTCTCTCTCTCTCTCTCTGTTAATCCAAAGCCTTGGAAAACCAAATCAGCTGCGTTAAATCCCCAATTAGTCAGTTTTCATGTGTTATTTCGCACACACATACAAATATATGCGTATATTATGTTGGAATTTTATGTACATTTGTTGTTTCAGGAGCCGGTGTTGTTTCTGAAGCCGACGTCGTCGTATTTGGAAAATGGAGGCACGATCGAAGTTCCGCATCCCTTGGAATCGCTCGATCATGAAGTGGAGCTTGCCGTTGTGATCGGTCAAAAAGCTCGCGATGTTCCTGAGGCCACTGCTATGGATTATGTTGGAGGTTTGGTTTAGACATTGCTATAATTGCACCTCTAGAATTTATCGCTTTTGATCTCGGAATTCATGTTATATTTCGTGTTTCAGGTTATGCACTTGCACTGGATATAACTGCAAGGGAAATCCAGTCTTCTGCCGAGAAGCAAATATTCTTTGGCTTTTATCCCAATTTAATTTGTGGAATCTTATTCAAATAAATGTCCTTTAATCAGTCTGTAGTCATTCAAACAAGGTAGATTGGTTGAACTGTCGAAGTATCAATCATTAGTGTGTGAAAAGTTTTGAAAAATTGCGTTAACATACACAGTTTATCAGTTCAATGACTATGAATGATTCAATTGCCTTTTGGGTTTGGGGTATATCCATCCGGATTGTGAAATACACAATTTCTTATTGTTTGAAATGTTGTTATCTTTTTAAATGCAACGGTTGTCAAATTATTACGGTTTTAACAGTGATGTCTTTTTCCCCTTCTATATCCCAGTCTGCAGGTCTTCCATGGACTGTAGCTAAAGGACAGGATACCTTCACACCAATCAGTTCTGTTGTAAGGATTGAACTGCAAATTATTTTGTATTCTATTTTTGCTGAGATTATTTACATTCAGATTTACTCTTAAGAGTCATGTAGAAATCAAGTAAAGAGTGAAGGATACATTTGGTGCACTTTGGGGCCATAATTTATGCCAATAAATATGGAGGTGGAGTTGGTAGCAGTTGTTAACTGACCTTACTATTTATATGGCTATACTTTCATATGTATGGTTTCAGTGGATTCAATTGTGAGAGCAATGGTAATAGTGCAAAGGCTGGGTCAATACTCAATTAATAGTAATCTCGATTTAGGGGGCCCAAACTGGACATATGAATCAACTGGGTATGAGGCAGGAAATGAGGACAATGCTATGAGTTACTGAGGCTTACTGTCAGGGTTCTATTACGTATTTATTTGGCTCATTCTACTTGTGGAAATGAAGATGGTTCTTTAGGTTAGTTGATTATGAAATTTGCTGGAACAAATAGATCCTGGTTCGTTAGGTTGAGGGATATGAACAAAGAACTTGAATGTATATATTTTTCTTTTATGTACATCCTCTTTTCATCTGTGAGTATGCTGTCTTTTATGTACTCTCCTAACAAGCATCTTCTATCCTGAAGCTGTCCTCGGCAAAGGTGCCAGACCCTCACAACTTGGAATTGTGGTTAAAGGTGTTAATTTTTCAATCTTTATCTTCTTTCTTTTGCTTTATAATCATCTTAATGCTTGTATTTTGGAGCTGATCTTTCAGGGTCTCTATGATTTCACAGGTGGATGGAGAAATTCGGCAACAAGGGCCAACCAGTGACATGATTTTTAAGATCCCATTTCTTATCAGCCACATAAGTTCTATCATGACGCTTCTTGAAGGAGACGTTATACTAACAGGTAATGTGTTACTTCCCCTGCTCCTTTTGCTGAAGTTTCAGTAGTTCTGATTGTTTGCAAATATTATTTCCCTAGAAAAATTTCAGCACATCGAATAAAAATGTCTCCGCCGGCTGGTGGTGGTCATGTAAATATTGAAGTCTGTTAGTTTCTTTTGTGTAGATCTGTGATGATTCTTCTATTATACCTGACGTTTCAAGATTTGTTTGTTCTACTTGACACTCGATCAACAGAAGTTCTCATTTTTCAATCCGCAAATCATCAATCCCTGTAATACTATGCCATAATTATTGTGTTAACACCATTTTAAAATGGCAAAATTGTACGGCTAACAGCTGTGTAAATCAAATCATTTCCGGTCAGTAGCCAAGCACTTATTATTCTGCTATTCCACTTTTGCTAATCTTAAAGGGTATTTCTCTTGAGAAGACCATGGGCCAAAATAATTGGTGCAAATGATTACCTTAACTCTATAACTCAAAAGGCACAGTACCAGTGTATGTAATGGCAGCATTCTTCAGTTTTTAGTTTAAAACCGGCAAAGGCAGAGTGGAATTGGGGTCAATACTGCACAAAGCACTTCCACTTCTTTTCAATGCGTTCTTCTGACTTTTCTGTTTGAGCATTTGTTCAGTTGTTCACTCGTACCTCAGTTCTGGTATTGATCTGAGTGTAGAGTTATCCATCCTTCTGGGACCAAAATGAATAGAACTAGAGTCTTGGCTGACCTTGGTATTGACCCTGTTTGTGCAGGCACTCTTCAAGGTGTTGACCCTGTTAAAACATGTCAAAAGATAGACGCTGGTATAACAGGCCTCTTGGATGTGTATTTCAATGTTGAAAAACGCCAAAGACCCCAAAGTTGCTGAACTGATCACCTTAACTGCTTTTGTGATATTGTCAAGTGACCTTGCCTGGGACCTCTGGATCCTACTTCTAGTCGACTCTGTGACATGTTTCCATCAAGCTGTCGCTCTTGGGTGCTCCAAATGAAGGTTTGATTGTTATTCTTTCTGACCTTGAACCATTCTTGTGGAGCGAAAATAAGTAGAATAATGAAAATTCTGAAGAGCCTTGTGTCTGAATCATTTACTGATCTTGAGAGAGTTTGTTGAGCGGTTAGTTAACAGGGTGATCTCAATTCTATCCAAAATGGGTATAAGACATACCAATATTTTACTTTCTTTGACCTGGTTATGGATGGAAAGTCTTGTGCACTGAATGCAATCCATATAGTTTAAACTATTTCTTCATTCCTAGTATTATTACGAAGCTGCCTGATATATTTGTTGTTCAACTACCACATCATGATTTATTAGCAGCTTCCAACTCGAGGAACACATTGAGGATACAGGAGGTCAGTTACATGAAATCCAAAATGCTATGACAAATACATAATCTATCTCAAATACCAAACAAACAACAGATAGAGATTTATTCAACATGCTTAAGAGTAGGGGGTAAATTTTGGAATGGGGGGTAAATTCTTGTTCATCAATGGCATCGTGCCACTCATCATTTGATGAGAATTGTTACAGTTCATTGTCGATCATAATACAGCTACATGTGTAACAATCACCTCAAAGAAACGGATATGAAGAGAGGGAAAATTCAGAACGTCTGGATAAAGTCATAAATGTGCTTGTTGATCTTGTCAGGCTTCTCTTGATTGATGAAGTGGGCTGCTCCTTCGATTACTGTAGCTTCCTGCAACAATGGCACATCTTTCCGGAACCCACCGATGTGTATATATTCCTTCATGCCTGTCATATGATAGGTCAAGTCTAAGTCCCCCACAATAAACTTCGTTGGTACTTTCACTTGAGCTCCAGTCCAGGGTGCAGTGAGTTCCCAGTTTCTGCAGTTAATGGATGAAACAATTGACGCTTATTTCACAAGGAAAAAGAGAGAAGAAATCGAACTCAAAAGTATACAAAAGATTACAAGCAGATGGTCTCCATCGGAATGACCTACAAAACTGAATTACAATAAACACTTTAAAGTTTTCTTGTACACAGAAAACACAGGCATTAGATCAAACTTCAACTTAGAAATAAAAGAATGCAGAGATCAATATCAATCATTCACACAAAATTAAATAAATGCCACAGGGATCCTTTGATGTATCCTAATGGCGAAACAACTAAGTAATTCATTAGCTGATGGTAATTGGAGATTTGACAGACCCTATGCTGAATTGCTGAGTATGATAGGGCAAACTTTACTTTTCGCTTATGTGGCTAAACCTTTTTGCGCTTCGCCTTTCCTCACATCCATAAATAACCACATGACCCCCTCATGTAGTTTGTGGACTAAAGTGCACCACTAATTACTCCATTAACAATACGAATAAAATGACCTAACCTCTCTCTCTCTCTCTCTCTCCCCACTAGCTCTGCCGCGAACCAATCTGGACACTGCTCTGAGGTTCAAATTCAAGCACCAAAGCCTCTTCATCTCTAACCATGAAAGACTTCACTTCTTCTTAGATTCCTCTACTGCAACCATGATTGGATCCCATTACCCAACCTCAACTTCCTCAAGGAACCTTCTCAAACCATAATACCCACCTAGCAGAAATATCAAACTTCCAATTTTCTGAGATTATTGGGCTGAAAATACATCTTTTTCCAATAGAACTGCACAAATCTTTTCCACAGCAGAGCCATAATCACCATTACACAGAGATCTCACTACCTTCATACTTTCTACCCACTCAAACTTAAATTTTCAATTGAGATTATCTAAATTAACACCCACAGTCACGCACACACTCATGGCTGCTGAAGTACTATTGACGTGAGCAGCGCCCTTTATCAGATGCCGAATTCACCAATCTTCCACCCATCAATGCTCCAAACGCCCCACCTTCAACACTAACTCAACAAACCACAGCCAAGCACCACTGAATNTTTATCAGATGCCGAATTCACCAATCTTCCACCCATCAATGCTCCAAACGCCCCACCTTCAACACTAACTCAACAAACCACAGCCAAGCACCACTGAATTTGTCCATGTTAATAGGGTAAGCCACTCGATATCGAGTGTCCACATTTACTGGAGCTTTGAGTGAAATTCAAAGCCGCAATTCTACTGGAATTTGAACGACTGAGATTCGAAGCCATCACTTGTACTGAAATTTGAAGCAAGTAAAAGTAGGTTGATGGTAGTAGAAACTGAGGTGTGGGTTTGATAGTCACAAACAGTGGTTGGAGGAAGAAGATTGATTTTTGAAGTGGCTTCTGGGTTCAGATATTGGTTTCAACCTTGTTGTGCTTTGGATGATCCTATTCCTTCCAGTCTGAATCTTGACAAATGGATTTGTTTCAGGTTTTCTTCCACTCCATTCATAGAGAGCTCTAAGACATCTGATGAGATCTTCAATGCTTCCCCAAAATGGGTATGGACATGAGTGTGCTGCGAATTTGTTTCTTTTGTTTTTGTTTTCTTAGATTATGTTTTTACTTTTTGAATTCATGAGAATTTATGGTNCATAAAAGTTGGAAGTGACTCACATATCAAAAGCTCGGTAGTAGTTCACTCCTCCGGTGAAGCCATTCTTCTCAAATTTGCTGGCATAATAATCAACATCTTCTTCTGACAACCAAGATGGCAAAACAATTGGAGTACTAGGTGAATCTCCAACTCACCCTTTACCTTTAGGGAAATAAAATGGACCAGGAGTGCGGTATGTAAGAAATTTCTTGACAAGTCTTTTAACACCAATCTGGGAAAACTCGGCTTCAATATCTCCAGGTTCCTCCNCGGTATGTAAGAAATTTCTTGACAAGTCTTTTAACACCAATCTGGGAAAACTCGGCTTCAATATCTCCAGGTTCCTCCAACATTATTAAACAACCTGTCTGTAAGATAGGTTATCAGTAAGAACTTCATGGCATCTTTTAGCGATTACTGATGAGAAATTTAAGGAGCCGTTGGCCTGCCAATGAAGTTGTGGCTGAGGTATGCACCCAAGGTAGATGTAGTTGGATATCAGGAAAATAAGTTTTCTTGATTGTACAGAAAATGTAATACATACGGTTAGGATCACTCGGATAATCTATTTGCTTTCTTGATTGGATGCAGGATTCTTGCATGCTGTAGGTTATCACAAACTATTGGTATACTTAGTAAAACATAGATTTATCTATACAATCACAATGAAAAAAGTACAAAATATCTATAAATTTCCCAAATTATGCAGAAATTGAATGTTTATTTCATCCAAAAAACTAATTTGATTTATTACTTAAAGAAATGACAAAAAGATATTACAAATTTTCTAAAACATGGCATCAATATCACAACACCAATACACACACACACACACACTCACACACATGCCTACATAAATATACACCGAGAAAGAAAGAGAGAGTAATTCAATCACAGATTCGACCATGCCTACATGCAGATCAACCAAATGTTCTAAGCTTATCTAGTACTCACCAAAGAAGGCGCAGTTTTGAGTGATCATAAATATCTCCAGCAATTCCATCAAGAAGGTGGTACCATGATTTGAATCCATGACGAGTGGGGTTATACACCAATAAGGTTAATTTTCCTCTTCAAAAGTGTCTCAACTTGAATTGGGGATTCAATTTCAAATACAAATTCAAGATCAAATAAAGATGGATTCATGCTAGAACGGAAATCAAAGTAAAAAACGTATGCATATATGTGATGAATAGAGAACCTGAAATCGGCAGATGTAGAGATCATCTCCGTAGAGAGCACGAAGCTTATCAACATTGTTCATCGNTGACGAGTGGGGTTATACACCAATAAGGTTAATTTTCCTCTTCAAAAGTGTCTCAACTTGAATTGGGGATTCAATTTCAAATACAAATTCAAGATCAAATAAAGATGGATTCATGCTAGAACGGAAATCAAAGTAAAAAACGTATGCATATATGTGATGAATAGAGAACCTGAAATCGGCAGATGCAGAGATCATCTCCGTAGAGAGCACGAAGCTTATCAACATTGTTCATCGAAGGATTCCTCGGCAAAAAAGGAACACTCAACTTCACCAGTGCCTTGATTTTATCAGGTCTATACAAGCACAAGTACCAAGCAATGAATGCACCCCAGTCATGACCCCCAACAAACACCTTGTCTTCGTTTGGTGCAACAGCATCAAGGAGTCCAACGATGTCACCCACAATGTGGAGAGTGGTGAACTTGGTGTGATCGTTAATGGGTGCACCCGTGGTGTCGCCGTAGCCGCGGAGGTCCGGAGCCACCGCTCGGTAGCCGTGAGCGGCCAAGTAGAGGATCTGGTGGCGCCATGAGTACCAGAGTTCAGGGAAGCCGTGGAGGAATAGGACTAAAGGACCTTGACCCAGTTCAGCTACGTGCATGTTTAGGCCGTTTACAGGAACCATCTTGTGCTGGATCTTCTCCATCTCTCAATCTCTCTCTACTTTCTGTCACAAGTCTACTGTGAAGTGAGAAACAAGAATGAGCGAACGTTATAATTCAAGGGGGTTGCTTAAGTGAAATTTGGAATAATCGAGGTGTTGAACCAATTCTAACCGTTGACTTGGCCAGCCGGACAGTTTCTACCGGTCAAGTGAGGCAAAACAATCGGCTAGGCTNGAGCGAACGTTATAATTCAAGGGGGTTGCTTAAGTGAAATTTGGAATAATCGAGGTATTGAACCAATTCTAACCGTTGACTTGGCCGGCCGGACAGTTTCTACCGGTCAAGTGAGACAAAACAATCGGCTAGGCTTNTGTCACCCACAATGTGGAGAGTGGTGAACTTGGTGTGATCGTTAATGGGTGCACCCTTGGTGTCGCCGTAGCCGCGGAGGTCCGGAGCCATTGCTCGGTAGCCGTGAGCGGCCAAGTAGAGGATCTGGTGGCGCCATGAGTACAGCGTTCAGGGAAGCCGTGGAGTTAATTATTAATTTAAATTTAATCATATTTTATCAGATTTTTGACTTATATGAGCCATGAATTTGCGTGATGTTTGGGACTTAGTCAATTGATGTGTGGGAGATTGGTTTGCTTTTGCTAAAACAAAACATGAATTGTGTCATGTGCGTTGGGCTTTGAGAGTTTGAGTTTGAGATTGAGACTCAAATCTTTCTTTAGGATCTTATTAAGTGAACTTAAAATCTTGAGACTAATTTTTTGATAACTTATATTTGGAAAACTAATCGATTTGAACATTCTTTTTATGGTGTATTGTTTGATGAAGGGTGCTAAGTTCTGGGGAAATAGAGTTCATGCCCCTCGACATAGTATTGTCCTATTCATGTTTTCGTGTCAAAATATTACGATTGATTCGAATGGAAAACAATTTTTGGTACAAGAATTATCCACATGGCAAGCCATGATTCCAGAGAACTCGTAATTCCAGAGAGGCATATCATCAAATTACCATCCACTTTTTCTAATTTCTTTTCAGCACTCCCCTTTTCAGTTAGTCCTATTGACTGTCTTCAAGTCCAAAAGAGAAAAAGGTTATTGTCATGCCAGCAAATTCTACAGCCCTTTCCAGAGACCAGAAGGGTGGGGAAAAAGTTAGACCCCTCCTCCCCACCCCCACTGACACTCACAAGTCGCAACATAGAAGAGAATCTTTGGTTGCTTTACAGAAAACCGTTGAAGAGCTCGTATCCATCAAGAAAGGAGTATGGTCAAAGCTCGGCAATTTTTTTTTGAACACACCCATCAAAGATCAATCCTAGCCGTTCAAATGAAGGGAGAGAGAGAGAGAGTCATTGCTCACACATTGAAAGAAACAACACCACCAGCACTACTCATATACTAATTACCAAATAAATACACAACCAACTCTAGTAACAGAACACTAAATTACAAGAAGAAATAAAAGTGGAAAAAAAAAACATAAAAGAGAAAGAAGGGCTCATAAATATTCATCTCATACACACAGAAGAAGCAAACAAACAAATCAGAGAATTGGACAGACAATGCAATTTTTTTTGTAGTTGGGGGGGGTTCTGTTGGTGGTGTTGCTTAGTTGGTGGGGTTGCTGCGGAATGATCCCAAAGCTTTAATAGCTGCAGCCCTCAAAATGTACTGGTGATATACAGCTGCGGCCAATGCTCCCACAAATGGTCCAACCCAGAAGATCCACTGTCCACCACAATACCCAGAAAGTTACTATGAAGGATTCAACTAGTATGGAACTTAATTTTGGGGTTGATTTGCAATTTATAAGTCTTCGGGGGTGAAAAAAAAATTATATATATATATATATATATATATATAAGGGATCAAATTATGATACCACAAAATTATTTTTTGTTATTGTTTTTCTTAATTTTAAGAAAAATAATCACAAATAATTCGATACAGAATCAATTTATGGTACAGAAAAACACTTTTTAGTACCACAGCTACATCCACAAGCGTGTAAGCCGAGAGAAAGACTTACATGATCATCCCAGATTTTGCCGTTGTTGTAGATAACAGCAGCACCAAAGCTCCTAGCTGGGTTGATACCAGTCCCCGTGATGGGGATGGTGGCCAAATGAACCATGAACACAGCAAACCCAATAGGAAGAGGAGCCAAAACCTACATGAACCCACCCACCAATTCACATCATATCAAAAACACAAACCCTAGCACAAAAAAATTGTATACAAGATCAGCTACTTACAGGCACGTGAGAGTCACGTGCACTCCTCTTAGGGTCAGTAGCTGAGAAGACAGTGTAAACCAGCACAAAAGTTCCAATAATCTCAGCACCAAGAGCTGTGCCCACGTTGTACCCATGAGCCACAGAGTTAGTACCGCCACCTAGTGAGTTGTAGTCGTGCTTCATGAAAGCCTTCACTAATCCAACACCACAAATAGCACCCAAACACTGTGCTACCATGTAAGCCACTGCTCTGATCAGAGACACCTTCCTCGCCAAGAACAGCCCAAACGTCACCGCCGGGTTAATATGACCACCTATAAATTGTTTTTCCACCACACTCATAAGAAAAAAAATACACAAAATAGAGAAGGATTTGAAGGGTTTTTTTTTCCAATGAAGTTGACGATAAGGGCTGTAAATGACCGGGATGATCTCGGATTTGAGTTGTATGTAAGTCGTGTTATGTTTAAATTTGCTCAACCCATGACGCATAATCGTGTTTAAACAACGTTGTCTTGGGTTCGTAATTGTCGCGTGTAATTGGGTTCGTGATAAACGATAATTCATATTGTTGATAGGTCTAACAGTTTCACCCAAGTATTCCAAACTCGTTAATTTTGTGTCCATTTTGTGAGGATTCATGGATAGTGCCTAGAATTGTTAAGAGAGGGTAAAGTAGTGGTCTTGTTACCTGAGATGCCGGCGGTGCAGTAGACGAGGATGAAGATCATGCCGCCGAAGGCCCAAGCGATACCCAAGAGGCCCACACCGTCGCACGGGCCGGTCTGCTTCTTGTAGCCGATGACAGTGGCGACGGTGACGTAGAGGAAGAGGAGGGTGGCGATGAACTCGGCTATGAGTGCTCTGTAGAAAGACCATAGCTTGATCTCGGCCAAGTCGATGAGTGGTGCTGGTGGTGGGTCCACGTAGTCTTTGCCGTGGTGGTGGGTTTGTCCCTCTTCAATCACTTCCTTCGACATCTTCTTCAGTCTCTCTGTGTTTCTGGTCTAAAAGTCTCACTTTTTCTCTCTTAGATAGGTAGCTCTATGCTATAGCTGTCTCTCTATCTCTCTCTTGTTCTCTGTTGAGCTTGGTAATGGTGGTGGTGAGAAGCTATTTTATGAGTGTATGGGTTGGGCATTGGGGCATTTGCGGATAAGCAAAGGGCTTTCCAAGGAATTTAAAAAGATATGAAAAATCTTATAAAAATGTCGCGGAGAGAGAGAGAGAGAGAAAATGAATGGGGCCAGGAAAGACAACTAGACCATGTGATGGCTAAATCAAACTGTTGGTGNGCTCTATGCTATAGCTGTCTCTCTATCTCTCTCTTGTTCTCTGTTGAGCTTGGTAACGGTGGTGGTGAGAAGCTATTTTATGAGTGTATGGGTTGGGAATTGGGGCATTTGCGGATAAGCAAAGGGCTTTCCAAGGAATTTAAAAAGATATGAAAAATCTTATAAAAAATGTCGTGGAGAGAGAGAGAGAAAAAGAATGGGGCCAGGAAAGACAACTAGACCATGTGATGGCTAAATCAAACTGTTGGTGGGGTAAGAAGTCTCCCTGGCATCCAACCAAAACCTACCACTCTCTGCAACGGTCTTTTCCCTAATGATTTTACAGTTTTGCCTCTTCTGTTTTTTTCTGAGTCATAGTTTGTCCGGTTTATCATCATAATTTGAATTAATTTATGGACATGACCTTGAAAAATAAGAGTAGTTGGCTATTAAGAGGTGAGAAATATAAAACATAAGGCATCTTCTTNCAAAACCTACCACTCTCTGCAACGGTCTTTTCCCTAATGATTTTACAGTTTTGCCTCTTCTGTTTTTTTCTGAGTCATAGTTTGCCCGGTTTATCATCATAATTTAAATTAATTTATGGACATGACCTTGAAAAATAAGAGTAGTTGGCTATTAAGAGGTGAGAAATATAAAACATAAGGCATCTTCTTATTCGTAAGAAAATAACCTTCATCACTAGATCATCTCTAAACTCTCTTCTATTTCTATTCATTGTAAGGGTACCCCTTCATTTACTAGGACGCTCCTTGTTGTTGGGGTCACGGGACATGGTGGAATTTGATGGGTTGGCATTTTGAGATACTTTGTGTTAAGGTACTGCAAAAATAATTCTTTGTTATCATATTTTTAACTTTTAATTTAATAAGATTTCGATTTCAATAAATTAGTTAAACTAAATCTATAGTTCTCGGTCACCTTTTGTTCCCCCACAAATATTCTTTTGTTAGAATTATAATGGCTGATTTTGTCAGTGGAAATGCTTACTTGTCTATTGCCACTTTGCCAGCTTAATTTTGCTATGTTTTGGGTCCTTTTAAGTGCACTTATGAGTTGTTAAAATATCTCTATATTTTAACGAGTTTTTGGATTAACGGTACCTTTTATTTTGTCTAAGTTTTTTGTGCAACAAAAATGTGATTGGTTGGTTGGTAAAACAGATTTCAGTTATTTCGAAATACCGTATCCAAGTCTCTAATATAAATTCAAATCCCACTGAAGACCCAAATCTTAATTTAATTGGTTTATTGGTTGAGAGACGGTTCATATATCTGGGGTTTGTCATCGGTTCTACTCAGATTCATGAGTCTGAGTGACAAAAATTTGTGCCGTCATCCGAAAAAAAAAGAATCTCTAAAACACTAAACAAACATTGGAAAATGGATGTGCACCACCACTATGAATTTTTCAATTTTTGGGTACATTGAAAAATCTTGACAAACCCCTAATCTTGTTTTTTTCATAATTTTTCCCACCCATTAAACACCTGGCGTTTGCTCTAATGACAAGGGCACTTACTCTCCCTATAATTGATGTGTGATCGAGCTACACCTCGTATGTAGTTCCTTTGTTAAATTAAAATTATGATAATTGCTTTTGTGCTTTTTTCGTGCTATAACCATGATTAAATTCTTCATTAAAAGGGAAGAAAGAAAGACTATATAATAATCAGTCAAGTTTTGCTTGACTTGGATAGAACATCGTCAATTGAATGGCCATGACAGAACCAACATTCTTGGTATTTAATTACTAGAGTAGTGTGCTCTGCTTTTCAGTGGTACCACACTCTTTATTAGGTAGAATTATCGTCAAGTGGTCTCTTTTAATCTGTCTTCTATTAGATTTATATTATCTTTATCCTTTTAAGATTTTTTTTAATAGAAAAAATAGATGATACAATGAGTTTAAGAAATATAGAGAACCATGCACTCTATACACATTAAAAGAAATTATAACTCAGATGCATCGCCCGGGTCCGATACTAATAACATTTAATTTGAAAGAGAAAACAAACACAATAATAAAGTTGTGGTTCTTCCATGATTTTGGCCTAAGTGCTTGTGATTGCTTTGGTTATTCAGCACCAACTTTTTTTAACTTTCTTTCCCTATTGAGGCTGCAATAAGCTTGTCTCTATAACATCATTATATTGTGGACCCCTCCTCCAAGCCCATCATCTACTGGACTAATCACGGATCACATGGCGCCTTGGTTGCTGTAATTTAATCAAGGCAGCATTTATAAAGAGGACATTGATGGGCCCCACTGTTGTCCCTCTTAAACATTTATAAAGACTAAAGAGGACATTTATCGATTAATGAATTATTTTATTTTTAATTATATTTTACTCACTTTCATCCAAACTCGCCCCGCCCCGCCCAACCTATCTATCCGATCCACAGATAAGGCTGTTCACTCTTTACTCAATGAGTAGGAAATAGTATATTTTATTTTTGGAGCTAATAAATTGTGAAAAGTTAATTTTTTAGCCGATTCCANTAATTTTTTAGCCAATTCTATCCGATCAAGAGTAATTTTTAGAGTCGAATTCTGTCCCAAAAATCAGTTCAAAAATCGGGTAAGAATATAGAATATCTCACATATTTTAAAATTTTAAGTTATTAATATTTGGATCATTATAACAACTCAATTTTTAAATTTTTGGGCTACTTTTACAATTAGGCAATTAAAATATAATATAAGAATATATAAAACTAACACAATAAAAAAATAACACTAAAAGAAAACACAATAAATAAATAACACTAAAGAAAAACAATAAATCCAATAATATGAGCATATAAAACGACACCAAATATATTATTTTTTAAAAACTTTAAATATATGTGCGGGCCAAGTAAGAATAAAAAAATTTTATGGGTATTCTCCATTTTTATCCATGATTTTACGAAATATTAAAATTTATTTTATTGGCCAGCCAAAATTTTGCGGAACTCCAATATTCGGATAAGATCAATTAGAAGGATGCGAAACGTATCGGGTGACGCAAAATTTTGAACAGCCCTATATTCAGCGTCCACCTTTTTGTCCTAGAAGCAGATAAGCTCAAAAAGAAGCCATTGCAGCTCATTTCACAACTTTTGAGTATGTAAATGACCAATGGCTTCGATGTGATGATGTGCATGTTAATATGTTATTCCAGGAAAGATAATCGATTTCCAGCAGAAGAGAGAATCATCCAACTAAGATGTTCCCTTCCAAACACTTCAAATGTAAAATTAAAAAATCGATTTCGAGATTAAAGTGAAAGAAATTCAAAGATAAGTTTGACCTTTAATCATTGAACATTATAAAGTGGTGACTAATCATTTAATCAGAGAGGGGCCAAGAACTTTTTCGGCTTAAGCCCAATGTTAAAGTTGTATTAGAAAAATAGAAGATGTCACGAATTAGGTATATTTACCTTGGAAACAATGTTTATGAATCAACGCTAATGGTGGTTTTGGCCAATATCAATAATATAAGTGCTTATTAGGGTTTAATTATGACTAGTCGTCGTCTTTCTTCAAAGATTGTTTAAAAATCTAAATGAAAAAATCTTTCCATCATAGCAAGGCAAAATTCTTTTGGTCATACTTGTAACTCACTCTATATAGATTGTCCGTAAACTTCCTATGCTTGCTTCTCGTCAACTCCCTTAAGAAATAAGAATACGAGAACAAGAACGAAAACAGGAACGAGAAGAAGGTCTAGTGGTCAAGGGTTCGTGCAGTCATAATGGGGGGTTTGATCAGGAATTTCGATGTTTGAGTGGCATTGGGGGAGGGGCAACGGGTGTGGCATTTGAGGTTGGGGTGATGGCTGCCTCAAGGGGGTTCAAGGGGAGAAAGTCTCAACTATTGGGTTTGTTATTTTTGGAAAACTTTTTTTTTTTCCTAAGGGAAAACAACATATCAATGAAGTAAACACGTTTTGTTAGGTAAATAACTAGTGCCTAACAATTATCTCGCGAATGACAAACCAAACTAGAAGGTAGTATAGTATAATTCTAAACCAAACAAAATTATACTATGGTATCTTTTATAATAACTTATAACTACAGGGCTGTCAACGGAATTTATCTTAAGAGTGTCTCCAATGAAAATCCAAACCTTACCTAAATCTAAGTAAAAAAAAGGATAAAATACTTAATTTAGTATAGACATCTCCAACGAAGAAACTCAAATTTCAAGAAAGAGAAACTAAAATTTAAATAAGGATAAATTCAAATTTAAAAAATGATAGAATATAACCATTAGATTTTTAAAAAATAATGAAATTTAACAATTGATGAAAAAAGTAAAGATTTGAGTCTCTGGTTAAAAAAATGAGTCTCCATTGATTTGGTATGAGTGTGAGTTTAGCATTAAAAAATATTTTTATGAGTTTTTTTACCCAAATTTATATTTGGAAAAAAAGGTAAGGATTGAAGATGCTCTAATATCTAGTTATCTCCAATTAATAGATCAAATTGATAACCTATGAGTAATACTATTTACACTTAAAAATTAATTTAATTTACGGACCTAATGATGTAAGAATGACATGTTCTAATACTATTGTTGTGAAAGTAACTCTTAAACTTTTTCATTTAAACTCCATCACCTGACACATTATTTTGTTATCAAATTCTATCAATTGATGACACGTTATTTTGTTATCAAATTAAAACAATTTTTGAAGGTACCAATAGGATTACTCGATAACCTATTGGTAAACATGAGTCCGGGTAGGAATGACCTAAACTTCATCAAACGAAACTTTAGGCCTCAAGGAATAGAATTCTAATCCGTCTACAACTTTTATTAGTTCTCTTTCCTTTCTGCTTCCGCTTCTATATATATATATATACAGACTCTGATAATCACATGTTGTACACATATATCTTTCATAGGGGATTGCAATGGCGGAGCAACAACCAACGGCCGTTTTTCTACGAGGCTTGGATGAATTCCAGAACGGGAAGGAACGAATCCAAATGTTCACTGATAAGGTGCACAAGTATACTAGCTTTGTATATATATATATATGTAATACATGATTTTTCTCTCTTGGATATGGCTTGTAGTAGTTATTTATCATTATAATGTGGAGTTCTGACTAATATCAGTGAAAAGTTTTCAGTTTGATTTTTTAACCCATGTGTGACGCTGGCTTTGCATAATGAAAACATGAAATAGAAGTCTTGTATCATTCACACAATGGATTTGAATGGGAACTTTCAATTGCAATTGATCCCACTGAACAAAGAGCTCTATATAAAACGTGGGAGAAATGATTTTTCTTTTTTTTGGTGACTTGTATGATCTCAACCAGGTATTTATCGGATTTATTGGTCACGGGTTTCGCAGAAAGTGAGGAGATCGTAACAGCGAAATCACGATTCCTGGGCGAGCTCATATTGACATGAGGCTGCCTCTTTTCAATGCTAGAAGTAAAGTTAGTATTGCAGGTGCTATCTACTCCATCGGGGAGATGGCAAGCAAAATGCACCCAAACTCATTGGCAGTGACGTTTCTGAGCTATCACAGTCATGCATGCCGCGGGGATCATATGCGGTTTCCCCGGTTTACCCTCACATAGGGAGAGAGTTATGAGTTAATTCTCTCATTCCCACTACAATAGAAAAGAAAGAATTTACCACTAACTAGGAATCCTTAGGAGTGAGGGTTCTCTCAAGCGGCGAAGCTTGTCCCTTAAAGTGGCGGGACCTTTTCACTCATCCCTCTCTCACTAGGTAGCTACTAGCTACTAGTTGACCTGTATATAAGTCAGATGTTATAAGGGGAAGCTTTCCATAAACAAAAATCATGGATTGTTCTGTATAGATATTTGTGATTTGCATAATAGTCATAAGTTCAAAGAACAGGTGGTTGGAGTATTCTCAGTTACAAAAATAATGATCATATCGGTGCACATTATAATGTTGTCTATCTACTGTTTTGCATATCTGCCTTCAGTTGGATTCACCGGCCGCGTCTGAACAACGTCTGAAAGCAACATCGTCACCGAAAAAGTGGGGTGCTAATATATACCGGGTTGCATTAGTGATCTACTTTCTCTCGATGATGCCTTGGTGGCATTCACTTGGGATCATAAAGACTTGTTTGGCAATTGCCACTTTGACCCCCCTTCTTGTACCTTTCGCCTGGCTTTTTTACAAACTCCTATCAAACAAGACCTATCAGGAGGTGCGCATCAATACAAACCCTACCCAATTATTTTCCTTGTTTTCTCTGCGTCACACACACATACACACAGCAATTTGGCCTGTAAGTATGGTTTTTTATTTTTTTTTCCTAATTGCTTTTACGATTCCTTATAGAATGAGAGGATTTTTTTTGCTTGATCCATACAATACCAAACTCACACAACCGTTGTCTTACAATTCCTTCATAGACCAACAATTTAGTTTAATATGTAGTAGTTAGATAACGCGTTAGTTTTATTAAAAAAAATCCTTATTAGTGCAAGACATCGATCTTTATGGTTGAAACACATGCAATCTTGGAAGAGAAAACTAAAGTATTGCAAACACCGAGAGAAATCAACATAGTGTCGTTAGGGTGAGTAAGTNTTCAGTTGGATTCACCGGCCGCGTCTGAACAACGTCTGAAAGCAACATCGTCACCGAAAAAGTGGGGTGCTAATATATACCGGGTTGCATTAGTGATCTACTTTCTCTCGATGATGCCTGGGTGGCATTCACTTGGGATCATAAAGACTTGTTTGGCAATTGCCACTTTAACCCCCCTTCTTGTACCTTTCGCCTGCCTTTTTTACAAACTCCTATCAAACAAGACCTATCAGGAGGTGAGCATCAATACAAACCCTACCCTATTATTTTCCTTGTTTTCTCTGCGTCACACACACATACACACAGCAATTTGGCCTGTAAGTATGGTTTTTTATTTTTTTTTCCTAATTGCTTTTACGATTCCTTATAGAATGAGAGGATTTTTTTTGCTTGATCCATACAATACTAAACTCACACAACCGTTGTCTTACAATTCCTTCATAGACCAACAATTTAGTTTAATATGTAGTAGTTAGATAACGCGTTAGTTTTATTTAAAAAAATCCTTATTAGCGCAAGACATCGATCTTTACGGTTGAAACACATGCAATCTTGGAAGAGAAAATTAAAGTATTGCAAACACCAAGAGAAATCAACATAGTGTCGTTAGGGTGAGTAACTATTCGATACTAGTATATATAAACCCAAAGCACCCATTCAGATGAATAGACACACCATTGTAAATGTTGGTTCAATTACAACTATTTCAAAGGTTGTGTTGGTTCATATTCAAACCATCTATATTTTTCTCTCTATGATATTTTTTTGAAAAATGCTACATAATCCAAATAAAATCCAAAATATTGCAATTCAAATGCATATCATTCCTTAGATGAGTGTGGGATGAGTGGGTCCCACTGAAAAAATTGATGGGACCCGCTTATCCGATGAATGATATGCATGTAGGTTGCAACTTTTTGAATTTCATTTTGGNGAATGAGAGGATTTTTTTTGCTTGATCCATACAATACTAAACTCACACAACCGTTGTCTTACAATTCCTTCATAGACCAACAATTTAGTTTAATATGTAGTAGTTAGATAACGCGTTAGTTTTATTTAAAAAAATCCTTATTAGCGCAAGACATCGATCTTTACGGTTGAAACACATGCAATCTTGGAAGAGAAAATTAAAGTATTGCAAACACCAAGAGAAATCAACATAGTGTCGTTAGGGTGAGTAACTATTCGATACTAGTATATATAAACCCAAAGCACCCATTCAGATGAATAGACACACCATTGTAAATGTTGGTTCAATTACAACTATTTCAAAGGTTGTGTTGGTTCATATTCAAACCATCTATATTTTTCTCTCTATGATATTTTTTTGAAAAATGCTACATAATCCAAATAAAATCCAAAATATTGTAATTCAAATGCATATCATTCCTTGAATGAGTGGGTCCCACTGAAAAAATTGATGGGACCCGCTTATCCGATAAATGATATGCATTTAGGTTGCAACTTTTTGAATTTCATTTTGATTTTGTAACATTGCTCTATTTTATTTCGTGCATAAGAAAATAATCGCCAACCATTGCATCCATTCATGAGTTACATGTCCAGTTTAATCACCCAATTCATGGGTCAACACTAAGGTCTACATCCGTATTGTTTATTCATATGTTACCCAACCCTTATGTACTCGCTCACTGTTTCAAAAAAAAAAAACTGTAGAGAGAAATTTGTGAAATGAAAGCGAACATAACTTGTATTTGCATCCCATGTGGCGATTGTCAATATCTCACAATGTTATATTTTCAAAGTTGCAGGAAACTGATATTGATGATAACCTACGCGAGGAAGAAGAGTTGGATAGGGTTAATTGTGATAAATTGAAGAAAGAGAAGGTTGCTCAAGAATCGGAACAGCAAGAAAACCCTAAGGNCAAACCATCTATATTTTTCTCTCTATGATATTTTTTTGAAAAATGCTACATAATCCAAATAAAATCCAAAATATTGTAATTCAAATGCATATCATTCCTTGAATGAGTGGGTCCCACTGAAAAAATTGATGGGACCCGCTTATCCGATAAATGATATGCATTTAGGTTGCAACTTTTTGAATTTCATTTTGATTTTGTAACATTGCTCTATTTTATTTCGTGCATAAGAAAATAATCGCCAACCATTGCATCCATTCATGAGTTACATGTCCAGTTTAATCACCCAATTCATGGGTCAACACTAAGGTCTACATCCGTATTGTTTATTCATATGTTACCCAACCCTTATGTACTCGCTCACTGTTTCAAAAAAAAAAAACTGTAGAGAGAAATTTGTGAAATGAAAGCGAACATAACTTGTATTTGCATCCCATGTGGCGATTGTCAATATCTCACAATGTTATATTTTCAAAGTTGCAGGAAACTGATATTGATGATAACCTACGCGAGGAAGAAGAGTTGGATAGGATTAATTGTGATAAATTGAAGAAAGAGAAGGTTGCTCAAGAATCGGAACAGCAAGAAAACCCTAAGGAAAGTTATGGCAGAAGTTACCGCAACGAGTTTAAGTTCAAGTGGTTGAAAATCCAATACGATCGCAGGACCAGAGCGAAAAAAGTAGCTGAGGAAGAATTGTTTTCACTTAAGAAAGAATATGAGGAAAATGCAAGAGAATGGATAAGAAAATTGAAGAAAGTGAGGGATGAACGCGAAAATGATCAAAAACAGTGGGATGAAGAGAGAAACAATCTTATTGCTCAACTTGGAGATGCAACAGAATCATCCAAAATGTACAATGATCTTTCACGGGAGTATGAAGAAAATCGACGCAAGTGGGAGGAAGAGAAAAATGATCTGGTGGCAAAGCTCGATGCCGCAGTTGCTTCTTCAAAACTCTACCGGGGGTTTTTGCATGATTTTGATCATTATTAGCATATTTGGAACATTTTCCATGCCCACTTGTCGGGTTTTTTTTTTTGGTTACAGTGCCGATTATTTCCTTGAGCTCAACGATTGGCCATCGTGACTTAAACTGAATTAGAGCCAACAACTATTCCTTTATAGTTTAAGTAGAAGTTAGGTATTTTATGTGCTTGGGTTTTTCTTTAGTTTTGTAGTTTGGTAGTGTTATGTTTTTTATTGGGATCTTATTGGGCTCTAATATCCTTGTTAAAATCGAGACTTATATGTAGTTGGACTCGAATTGAACTTAAAAGCTAAAGTTTAATCTCAAAATAATGTATACCCGTCTTTATACATTAGCCTTTTACATATATTTTGTTATGTACATGACGTGAAATGCCTTATTTTTTTTCTTAAAAGTGGTTCCAACACGTCATTTATATGTGAGACATATGCCAATTAAAGCTAGCTATCCATTTTTTATTTTTACCTTTTTTATCGGAAAACTAAGAGGTCGATGTGTGATAACGTATTACTTACTCGCAGAACCTAATGGTTCGGTTTGACCAATATCAATAATATATAAGTGCTAATTTGGGTTTAATTAGTATGAAGTATATGCATGCCTTATCCCATGTGTTTCACTTAGTTCTCATTTTTTTTTTCGAAGATTGTTGCAGAAGAAAATTCTTCAAATGATAGTAAGGCAAAATTCTATAACTCACTCTATATAGATTGTGCGTGAATTTCCAATCGTGTTTCTATCCATTCGCTTAAGAAATTATAAGAATACAAGAACAGACAGATTGTGTAATGGTTTAGGGTTCGAGGAGTCTGAATTGGGGGTGGTGGGGGGATGGGAAGCTGCAAGGGAGTTCAAGTGCAGGTAGGTTTCAAGGGTTTTGATCGAGGGCTTGGTGCAACGCATGGGAAGAGAGTCAACTGTTGGGTTTGTATTTTTTGGAATAATTTATTTTTTTAATGTTTAGTAAAGAAAAAAATTTCAAACTCATTTAAGGGATGATATGTATTTGGATTGTATAGCATTTTTTTAAAAATAAACTTAGATATAACAATAATTTAATCTATAACAGACAAATTGTTTAAATTGAATCAACCGAGCTACTTTAATTAAAAATATAACCTATAACAGGTAGTTGCATAATATAAGAGTACAATTTTAAATATAATAAATCAATTAAAACAATATGTAAAGAAGAAATTTTAAAGATCAAGCGATGGGTGGTAGATTTGATTATGAAAAATAAGCTTCCAGTGTTGGATTTTTTAGTCCCAAGTTGTATTTGGAACATGACAANTGATTATGAAAAATAAGCTTCCAGTGTTGGATTTTTTAGTCCCAAGTTGTATTTGGGACATGACAAAAGTAATAAACAGGTCCAATGTTAATTACATAGATTGGTTTGGGATTGATTAATATAATCAGGCATGAACTCAAAGTGCCAAATCCCATGTACCACGACATTACTCAAATTTCACCTCTAGTTGCAAAGGGAAGAGAAGAAATTAGAAAAGTCATATGAGAAATTAATATTAAAATTTTAATTGTATCATCTGTAAATGAATTCCAATTATTTTTAAAACTGAAAACCTAACTAAAATTATTTAAAAATTTTCACGGGGACAAGTTCTAAATTANCTCTAGTTGCAAAGGGAAGAGAAGAAATTAGAAAAGTCATATGAGAAATTAATATTTAAATTTTAATTGTATCATCTGTAAATGAATTCCAATTATTTTTAAAACTGAAAACCTAACTAAAATTATTTAAAAAATTTCACGGGGACAAGTTCTAAATAATGCTATATTTATCAAAATTTTAAATAGGCCCCAAAAGTTTTTGAAATTGTCATGTTGGATTTGCCTCTGATTAGAGACTTAACGCATTACAACAATTTGATGAATTGTGAATTCTAATATTAAAAAGAATTCACTTTTAATCCCGTAATTGATTAGTTATCCATAAATTAATTACGGACAAAATATCAACATGAATCCTGGTGTNTGATGAATTGTGAATTCTAATATTAAAAAGAATTCACTTTTAATCCCGTAATTGATTAGTTAAGTTATCCATAAATTAATTACGGACAAAATATCAACATGAATCCTGGTATGATTGAACTAAACTACATTAAACGAAAGCATAAGCTTGAAGGAATTAGAATTCCAATCCCTTTATAATTGTATTTATCTTTTCCTTCTATTTCTGCACATATATACATACATATATAAGCGTTTTGTATTTATATTTTATAGGTTGGTGAATCTGATCATCATCTTCTTAGAGTAATATTGCGATGGCGGATGAGAAAGAACCATCGGCTGCTGTTCTAAGACAAGAGGAAGAAGATTTCATGTTTTTGATGGAACGAATCGCCACCACAATTCTGAGTCTTAGTTTGTGTTACGAGACAGCTGGGGTATGGTGGCGCTTCTCTCTCATTCTTGCCTGCACTCTCTGCATTGTTATCACTCATTGGTTGGAAAGGAAGACATGGGCACGCCATGATAAGGTACATGTACACCAATAAGATCGATCACCTTTCATATTATAACATCATAAATATGCATACTCTCTCTCTCTCTCTCTCTCTCTCTATATATATATATATATATATATAGATATATATTGTTGGTTTTGCCCTATTAGCACTGAAAACTTTTCAGTTTGATTTTTTTTAGCGCACATGGTATTTTAGGGTCAGTGATACATGATATGTAGTTTTGTATCTCATTCGCACTATGAGTTTTGTTTAGATAGAGAAATTTTCAAAAACATCCATAAAAAGTTTTTATGCAATAATAATTTTTTTTGAAGCATGAAAAGTAAACAAGATCAATTTTAAATAGTTGTACAAAATTTTAGTTTCTGTAAAGGGTTATAATTAATTTTTATTGTTATTTGCATACACTATGTATACCCTTTTTTTGGCCTTTTGTATTTATTAAATTTCTGAGTATCAAATATAATGTAATAAACATAAGTATGCTATATCATTTTTAGCTGTTAGCAGAAATAATTAAAATTTCTTTTTTCTAATCTTAATCATATGTATAATAAACATACGTGTACACAAATGTCCATTTAAGGTTTTTTATTTATATACAACTTGCGATGTAATTTTGATCGTTTCTTTCTTCTTTTTTTGTCTAATTTTGCAGTTGCCTACACCTGTACCCGAGGAAGGATCGGAATCGGAAGAAACAATGTCACCCAAAAAAAAAGATGCTAAGAAATTGTGGTATGAACAAGTTGCGACTACCTTGTTGTTGATGTTTGTTTGGCGTTTGGAAGTCGGAAAGACCTCATTGGCTATCCTCACTCTTATTTTTGCGATCGTTGACTTCGTTCCCTTCGTAATGTATTTTCACGACCTCTTCTTAGAGGAGTATGAGGAGGTGCACATCAATATCAACCCTACTCTCTCTTGTACATGAACTCTAATTAGATCATTTGCTACTAAAAATGTATGAACCGAGTTTGATACCACAAATCCATTTAGCTAGTAGGTTGTGGAAAAAAAATCTGTTTTTTTTCATTGTTACAGTTTAGAATGTATGGTTCATTACAGAAATAGATGNACCACAAATCCATTTAGCTAGTAGGTTGTGGAAAAAAAATCTGTTTTTTTTCATTGTTACAGTTTAGAATGTATGGTTCATTACAGAAATAGATGATTTTTATGAATCAAATGAAGTTTTAGCATATGGAATTCTGTGGTTGATAAATTTGATTGAGAGATAAAGGGGATCTAATCTTGAATTTCTCATTATTCTTACGTAAACTAGTAGGTTNTGATTTTTATGAATCAAATGAAGTTTTAGCATATGGAATTCTGTGGTTGATAAATTCGATTGAGAGATAAAGGGGATCTAATCTTGAATTTCTCATTATTCTTACGTAAACTGGTAGGCTATTTTCAAGACATACAACAGAATTAGATAGATTAGTTGGTCTAGAGTTTGACCTGCATGCAATAATAATTGTGAATGATAGGAACACGACTCGACTCGATTATCATTTATCTCACACTTCAGTAGAAAGTGATTTTGAAGGACTGTTTGCCTCTAATCTATGTTGGGTTTGCTCTCAAAAACCTAGCAAATCACTTTTTATGCCATTCTCCTTACTACGAATCAAAAGAGAATCGGCGGGTGCACATCAATCTCAACCCTACTGCCATTATTTTGCTTCTTTTACATGTTTTTGATAACTTGTGTAGTTAGAATTTTTACGTGTTTATCTTGTGTGGTTAGAATTTCAAACAACACAGTACATCCACATGAAAATACCCACAAGGCTTTGTGTAGTGACACGAAAATATTTGTGTTTTTTATATCTTGATGGATTACAATGCTTATAAGTAGTTACTTTCAATATCGTACTAAAAATTACTAGAAATTAAAGATGAANGAAAGTTATGGCAGAAGTTACCGCAACGAGTTTAAGTTCAAGTGGTTGAAAATCCAATACGATCGCAGGACCAGAGCGAAAAAAGTAGCTGAGGAAGAATTGTTTTCACTTAAGAAAGAATATGAGGAAAATGCAAGAGAATGGATAAGAAAATTGAAGAAAGTGAGGGATGAACGCGAAAATGATCAAAAACAGTGGGATGAAGAGAGAAACAATCTTATTGCTCAACTTGGAGATGCAACAGAATCATCCAAAATGTACAATGATCTTTCACGGGAGTANGAAAATTGAAGAAAGTGAGGGATGAACGCGAAAATGATCAAAAACAGTGGGATGAAGAGAGAAACAATCTTATTGCTCAACTTGGAGATGCAACAGAATCATCCAAAATGTACAATGATCTTTCACGGGAGTATGAAGAAAATCGACGCAAGTGGGAGGAAGAGAAAAATGATCTGGTGGCAAAGCTGGATGCCGCAGTTGCTTCTTCAGAACTCTACCGGGGGTTTTTGCATGATTTTGATCATTATTAGCATATTTAGAACATTTTCTATGCCCACTTGTCGGGTTTTTTTTTTTGGTTACAGTGCCGATTATTTCCTTGAGCTCAACGATTGGCCATCGTGACTTAAACTGAATTAGAGCCAACAACTATTCCTTTATAGTTTAAGTAGAAGTTAGGTATTTTATGTGCTTGGGTTTTTCTTTAGTTTTGTAGTTTGGTAGTGTTATGTTTTTTATTGGGATCTTATTGGGCTCTAATATCCTTGTTAAAATCGAGACTTATATGTAGTTGGACTCGAATTGAACTTAAAAGCTAAAGTTTAATCTCAAAATAATGTATACCCGTCTTTATACATTAGCCTTTTACATATATTTCGTTATGTACATGACGTGAAATGCTTTATTTTTTTCTTAAAAGTGGTTCCAACACGTCCTTTATATGTGAGACATATGCCAGTNTATATTTTGTTATGTACATGACGTGAAATGCCTTATTTTTTTTCTTAAAAGTGGTTCCAACACGTCATTTATATGTGAGACATATGCCAATTAAAGCTAGCTATCCATTTTTTATTTTTACCTTTTTTATCGGAAAACTAAGAGGTCGATGTGTGATAACGTATTACTTACTCGCAGAACCTAATGGTTCGGTTTGACCAATATCAATAATATATAAGTGCTAATTTGGGTTTAATTAGTATGAAGTATATGCATGCCTTATCCCATGTGTTTCACTTAGTTCTCATTTTTTTTTTCGAAGATTGTTGCAGAAGAAAATTCTTCAAATGATAGTAAGGCAAAATTCTATAACTCACTCTATATAGATTGTGCGTGAATTTCCAATCGTGTTTCTATCCATTCGCTTAAGAAATTATAAGAATACAAGAACAGACAGATTGTGTAATGGTTTAGGGTTCGAGGAGTCTGAATTGGGGGTGGTGGGGGGATGGGAAGCTGCAAGGGAGTTCAAGTGCAGGTAGGTTTCAAGGGTTTTGATCGAGGGCTTGGTGCAACGCATGGGAAGAGAGTCAACTGTTGGGTTTGTATTTTTTGGAATAATTTATTTTTTTAATGTTTAGTAAAGAAAAAAATTTCAAACTCATTTAAGGGATGATATGTATTTGGATTGTATAGCATTTTTTTAAAAATAAACTTAGATATAACAATAATTTAATCTATAACAGACAAATTGTTTAAATTGAATCAACCGAGCTACTTTAATTAAAAATATAACCTATAACAGGTAGTTGCATAATATAAGAGTACAATTTTAAATATAATAAATCAATTAAAACAATATGGAAAGAAGAAATTTTAAAGATCAAGCGATGGGTGGTAGATTTGATTATGAAAAATAAGCTTCCAGTGTTGGATTTTTTAGTCCCAAGTTGTATTTGGAACATGACAAAACAGGTCCAATGTTAATTACATAGATTGGTTTGGGATTGATTAATATAATCAGGCATGAACTCAAAGTGCCAAATCCCATGTACCACGACATTACTCAAATTTCACCTCTAGTTGCAAAGGGAAGAGAAGAAATTAGAAAAGTCATATGAGAAATTAATATTAAAATTTTAATTGTATCATCTGTAAATGAATTCCAATTATTTTTAAAACTGAAAACCTAACTAAAATTATTTAAAAATTTTCACGGGGACAAGTTCTAAATAATGCTATATTTATCAAAATTTTAAATAGGCCCCAAAAGTTTTTGAAATTGTCATGTTGGATTTGCCTCTGATTAGAGACTTAACGCATTACAACAATTTGATGAATTGTGAATTCTAATATTAAAAAGAATTCACTTTTAATCCCGTAATTGATTAGTTAAGTTATCCATAAATTAATTACGGACAAAATATCAACATGAATCCTGGTGTGATTGAACTAAACTACATTAAACGAAAGCATAAGCTTGAAGGAATTAGAATTCCAATCCCTTTATAATTGTATTTATCTTTTCCTTCTATTTCTGCACATATATACATACATATATAAGCGTTTTGTATTTATATTTTATAGGTTGGTGAATCTGATCATCATCTTCTTAGAGTAATATTGCGATGGCGGATGAGAAAGAACCATCGGCTGCTGTTCTAAGACAAGAGGAAGAAGATTTCATGTTTTTGATGGAACGAATCGCCACCACAATTCTGAGTCTTAGTTTGTGTTACGAGACAGATGGGGTATGGTGGCGCTTCTCTCTCATTCTTGCCTGCACTCTCTGCATTGTTATCACTCATTGGTTGGAAAGGAAGACATGGGCACGCCATGATAAGGTACATGTACACCAATAAGATCGATCACCTTTCATATTATAACATCATAAATATGCATACTCTCTCTCTCTCTCTCTCTCTATATATATATATATAGATATATAGATATATATTGTTGGTTTTGCCCTATTAGCACTGAAAACTTTTCAGTTTGATTTTTTTTAGCGCACATGGTATTTTAGGGTCAGTGATACATGATATGTAGTTTTGTATCTCATTCGCACTATGAGTTTTGTTTAGATAGAGAAATTTTCAAAAACATCCATAAAAAGTTTTTATGCAATAATAATTTTTTTTGAAGCATGAAAAGTAAACAAGATCAATTTTAAATAGTTGTACAAAATTTTAGTTTCTGTAAAGGGTTATAATTAATTTTTATTGTTATTTGCATACACTATGTATACCCTTTTTTTGGCCTTTTGTATTTATTAAATTTCTGAGTATCAAATATAATGTAATAAACATAAGTATGCTATATCATTTTTAGCTGTTAGCAGAAATAATTAAAATTTCTTTTTTCTAATCTTAATCATATGTATAATAAACATACGTGTACACAAATGTCCATTTAAGGTTTTTTATTTATATACAACTTGCGATGTAATTTTGATCGTTTCTTTCTTCTTTTTTTGTCTAATTTTGCAGTTGCCTACACCTGTACCCGAGGAAGGATCGGAATCGGAAGAAACAATGTCACCCAAAAAAAAAGATGCTAAGAAATTGTGGTATGAACAAGTTGCGACTACCTTGTTGTTGATGTTTGTTTGGCGTTTGGAAGTCGGAAAGACCTCATTGGCTATCCTCACTCTTATTTTTGCGATCGTTGACTTCGTTCCCTTCGTAATGTATTTTCACGACCTCTTCTTAGAGGAGTATGAGGAGGTGCACATCAATATCAACCCTACTCTCTCTTGTACATGAACTCTAATTAGATCATTTGCTACTAAAAATGTATGAACCGAGTTTGATACCACAAATCCATTTAGCTAGTAGGTTGTGGAAAAAAAATCTGTTTTTTTTCATTGTTACAGTTTAGAATGTATGGTTCATTACAGAAATAGATGATTTTTATGAATCAAATGAAGTTTTAGCATATGGAATTCTGTGGTTGATAAATTTGATTGAGAGATAAAGGGGATCTAATCTTGAATTTCTCATTATTCTTACGTAAACTGGTAGGCTATTTTCAAGACATACAACAGAATTAGATAGATTAGTTGGTCTAGAGTTTGACCTGCATGCAATAATAATTGTGAATGATAGGAACACGACTCGACTCGATTATCATTTATCTCACACTTCAGTAGAAAGTGATTTTGAAGGACTGTTTGCCTCTAATCTATGTTGGGTTTGCTCTCAAAAACCTAGCAAATCACTTTTTATGCCATTCTCCTTACTACGAATCAAAAGAGAATCGGCGGGTGCACATCAATCTCAACCCTACTGCCATTATTTTGCTTCTTTTACATGTTTTTGATAACTTGTGTAGTTAGAATTTTTACGTGTTTATCTTGTGTGGTTAGAATTTCAAACAACACAGTACATCCACATGAAAATACCCACAAGGCTTTGTGTAGTGACACGAAAATATTTGTGTTTTTTATATCTTGATGGATTACAATGCTTATAAGTAGTTACTTTCAATATCGTACTAAAAATTACTAGAAATTAAAGATGAGTAAAGTATACAGTCATTCTCAGTTTGACCCATAAATTCGCAATTGTGTTATATGGGTCCTTAAATCAGTTATTTGTTTATAGACAAGAGGAAAAATCTGAGAATGAGGTTTATTTGCATCTAAAATAGTGATTGCCAATACCTCACCACGGGTTTATTGTTTTTTTTTTTTTTCAAATTGCAGGATGCTCATGGACTGGATGAGAAGGAGGAGGACAGTAAGGAGGAGAGTGCTCCATGTGATTCAGTGGAGGAAGTAGCGAAAGAAAGCGATGAAACAAACGAGGATTTTCAAAACGACAGTTTGGGAAAGAATTTTGACACATTGAAAATCAAACATGATCAAACAGGGAGAGAGATAGATGGACTAATAAATGCTCAGTTTGAGTGTTGGAAAGCATATCCGAGAAAGGAAGCAGAATGGAAAAGAAAATTGGAGGAAGCGATGGATGAACACAAAGACAATCAGCTGAAGTGGGAAGAAGAGAGAAAGAGTCTTGTTGTTCAACTTGGAGCCACAGCAGAATCATCCAAAGCCTACCATGATCTTTCACAAGACTATGAAGAAAATCGTCGAAAATGGGAAGAAGAGAAGAACAATTTGGTTGCAAAGATCTGTGCTGCAAATGCATCAGCTGAACTCTACCAAGGCCTTCTGAATGACTTAGGTTATTAGAACAAAAACTTTTGCCAAGTACTATGATTAGGTCTTTTTTTTAGTATATGTGAGTAGAAATTAAAGTACTTTTTGTGCTTTGTTTTTTTCATCACACTAATTAGTAGTTTGCTAGTTATGTTTTGTATTGACATCAGCCTCTTGGTATCTTCTTGGGCTCTCTGATACACTTGTTAGATGAGGACTTTAAAATGGAATCCAGAAAGGATTAAGCTTAATCTTAAGAATAGTTTGCTCCCATCTTTGTACAATAAGCCTGTCATTTTTTTTACCTGTGGAAATTGGAATGCCCTTTTTTCGATTTTCTCACATGTGGGTTCCAACATTTCCCTTGCGAGTCAAATTTTTCAAAGTGGACCACTTGCAACCTCCCCTTAATACATTCATTAGAAATCAAGACGATATCAAGCTTAAAGTGTTGTTTATTCTAATCTTTTTTTTGGTGCCGATGAAAATGAACACACAATCCACTAATTTTGTGTCCCCATAGTCGTGAGAACAGTCCATTCGATTAACCTCAAGCTTGTGAGTTTCAAAGCTGAGCACAGCCACTTTATGCAAGTAACTCCGAAGTATATCTCAATGAATGTATCAATCCAAACATGAAGCCGCTGATATCGGCTTCTCCACGAATTCATTGAATGAACAGATCAGCAAACAGTGTATCAATGAGGAAGCCATCGAATAAAGAATCATAAACAAGCAAAAAATTCAAAGAAACCTTGCAGGCATAGATTATCACACCAAAAGGAGTTCTATCTTTGGCAAATCACAAGAAAAGTGGAGGTCTGCAGTTTCCACAAAGCAAGGACACACCACATATTTACTAGCATAAGTAAAGTGCACATGGAAACTATTAAAAGGTACTCAATCCTACAGCGGTATGGATATTGCAAAGGTTTCATGATTCACTCAAATGCCCAAGCATTCTCCCGACGAACCTCCTCTTCTTCCTCTGGAGTGAAGTCATTCTTGATGTTAAAGGTCTTGCGGATCTCCTCTGGAGTCTTTCCCTTAATCATATCAGCAACTGTCTGACAGGTCAGATCTAGCAGGCTCTTAATGTTCAGATAGTTTGCTGCCTGAAATGAATATTCCAACCACCCAGCAATCAAATAGGTAAACAGAAAAAAAATAAAAAAAAAATCAAATGCACACAAACAAAAATTTCAAATTTCATCATGCATTGCCCACCATTCTGAACACAAACAAAATGTCACCCACAACTTTGTGTGCAACATGAAACCCATATGAATGGAACAAACACCAGTAAACTAAACCCCAAAGCAACTCCACGTCCATTAGGTGCACAGATAACATCACCATAAGCTACTCAACATACAACAAAGAAAGTCCATATATGGTCGAAGATAGTCCATTTATGGCATTTAATGATAAACCCACAAAAGAAAATAAAAGCCAAGCAAAACAACAAAACAAAACAAAGGTTCACTTCCACCAAAACCTTTGGGTTTGAAAACAACATACCCACCCCCACCAGCACCTACCATTCTCATCCTTTCCACTGTCCAGATCCCAGACCGTGTCTTTCGTGAAATATTAACCGGAAGGAACATTGAAAAATGTTATCCACTAGGGTAAAAAGAATACCATCTATTGCATCTTCATAAGAAATGAACAATTGCTATCAGAACATGAACAAGAATTTATAGGCAACAAAGTAAAAGGTCCAAACGAAACTGACTGCTATTAGATTTGCCTAGCTTTACACAAAAGATGAACCCAGACTCCTAATTGACATATTTAAGCATGTCAAAAATATCAATTCCACTATTTTCAGATTTACTCCAGCTTTCCTAATAAAACATATGGCACAACGGTTGAGTAACACCACCTTATATTTTTTATCACAAAAAAATCAAGAAATAGTAAAATTGAATCTCTCATGAAACCCCTATCATCACCCTACAGTTACGCCTGCTAACACCCAATTCCCATTGTCTGAATACCATAAAAATCTAGATATCATCATAGAACTGAAAGACCAATAAAACAATTAAAGCTGTAAAGTCAAAAAGAATCACCAAAGTTAAATAACATGCACTCCTATTTTTTTTTTTGGTCACACAATGACATTTACAAAGTTCCAACCCGGAATCCACCGTCAAATTTTCATCATGATTGACATCTAACCAACTAACTTCTCACAACCATATTTGTTTATCATATGTAATTGCACATAGGCAGTCACAAAGACATAACAACCATTACAAACCACAAGAGTAACAAAGAATGTAAAAGTTCCTTTTTCCTTTTTTGGAGGTTACATAGTTCAAAAATTTAAGTTACTCATGTGAACTGGCTGAAAAGCCTCTCTTGACCCTGCAATTTCAACTTTTTTGAAAAAGAGAGTAATTGTTCTCATCCATCTATTCACTGGAACGCTACTTTTGCGTTCTGGTGTATGAGTTCACGCCCAAATAGTGCCCACTGTTTCAAACATTCCAAAATAAGTCTCACTTCATATTATTACTGTATATTGCTTCCTCACCCACATATTCACACTCTCACCTGAATTATTGATAGAGAACAAAATCAGCTGTCTAAAACCAAAAGACAATCCAACGGCACTATCGGTTACATATCTAAAAAGCCCTAAACATGTTTCTGTAGAACGACAACAAGAAAACAGAGAATCAAGAAATTTAGCAATCCCCCAGGGTTGAAAGAATCAGACTCAAAGTAAACATATCAAACACGAAGCAAATCTATAGGCATTTTATCAGAATCAAATGATGAAACAGAATAGCACATACAAATCAAACAATCCAATACAGGGAGTCAAAGACTGAGAGACAAACAATGATAACATCAAAGAAAATTCCCTCAACAACTGTGATGTTTCCCGCATCATAGTCGGCACACTCACATCCCATACAATTATTTCAAATAATAAAATAGAGATATGGTCACAAGCACACTAGAGTCGTCTATCCATAAAAACCCTATCAGAAACCATCTTTGTTCGAATATATGCAAAATCACAGATACATACCTCTGTTTTGGACCAACCCTTGAAACACTAATCACATAAATTCTTATAAACGCAACAATAAATCATAAAATTCTCCAAATGGAAATATATAGTACACACCGAAATCATAAATAGGTACATATATGCAGAATGAAATAGATGCATCGGAAAGTCTATACGACAAGACCTAGAAACCATAGGAATACACAATTAAAAGGTAAAATCGAACCATAAAACGTTATAAGAAAATAATAATAGAGGAAATAAATGGGTCTTCAGATTTAGAGATCAAACCAAGATGAGATCAAAAAGAGTGCCCTGGTCAACTTTGACGAACTCAGCGTCGAAGTTCTTGAGGTCATCATCGGCGGCTTTGTCTTCGGATTTGGGGGTTTCGACGTGCTTCTTGCAGTACTCAATGACCTTGGCCAAGATCTTGCTGGTTACGTTGGGAAGAGGAATGACGGTGTCGGCACAGTCGTCCTCAATCATGTGCTTAATGGTCTGCGACTCCAAGGCCACGATTTCCTCAACCTCGAAGGTCTCAGAGTCGGAGCTCTTCAACACAATAGTCTTTGAAGAAGACATGGTTTCTTGACGGAGTTCGGAGAGGAGAGCGGCGACGAATCCCTAACCCTAGGAGAGAGAAAGAGCGAGAGAACGATATAGAGATTGGGGAGCCCAAACGTCAGAAGTGATAAAGATATGAGAGCAAGTGGTACTACGGACCCGTTTTATATAGATGGTGGCTCCGAGTAAGGTCTGGTATGGTATGGAGTAATGAAAAATCTAAAAATCTTTTTCCCCCCTTTCAAAAAAGAAAAAAAGAAAACCTTTGAAACCTTTCACCTTGACCGTCCTAAATTCTTCGAGACCAAAACCTATAAAAATTATATTTATTTATATAAAACGTTCGTTATGACCCTTTCTTTTCATTATTGAAGTCATAAAATTTATTTAGATTTGGTAAAATGTGAGTTCGACGAGTTGAGTTTGCAATGAGACCAAAAACACCTAAAGAAGCAACAATATTAGAAATGATCATGAAATAAAGAAGCGATCGATTATTAATAAGTGGAAAATTAACGATACACAGAGATATCTGGTTCTAGATTTTTTTTTAAAATCATTTATACTGCCAAGAATAGAGATATTCATATAATTAGACACAAAATGATTCTCAATGCCTTATTTCACCTAACCATTTTAATGACTCTCATCGAATACTGTACATCAAAAGTAAAACAATCTCATTTAAAGTCAACGAGATTTTTTTTTTTTTTTGTTTGAAAGTAATGTCAACCAGTTCTATACAGGTGCATTGAATGTGAAATTTTCAGCAAGTACACTGTATTCAGACAAGGCGACCAACATTTTGTTTCTAAAATATATTCGTTTTATTCTTAAATATCTGTCGTTTAAAATTTTTATACAAGAATTAAGAAAGTTATTAACTAACTCTAATATGAGTAAAACATAATTTCATAAAATTAAAATACCCTTATTTAATACATATTAGGAAGAAAATGAATATGAAAAGTACTTAGTCTTCACCAAATCTCATGCATTAAAAAGTTAAGGGTAAATTTATAAAAAAAAATATTAATTATATTTTAATTTCATTAAATGACAGATATTATTGAATAAAAAAAATTATGTAAAATGACAGATATTTAAGAACGGGGAGAGTATTTCATTTCATTTCATTTCATTTTTTGGGGGAGAGAGAATTCAATTTGCCATTAAGAGATGCATTTATAGTGCATAAAAGCAACTCTGAGGTGAGTTGTCATTTTTTTGGGATGTCAAATGTTATTTTGTAATTTTAAACAGTACTTTGACATTCTTAAATTATAAATTTGCTCCAATAATAGGTGTCAAAATGGGGTGTTATTTTAATATTTTAATATTTTTATTAAAAATATAATTAAATTTAACGATTATATTTTAATGGGTATAGTTTTCATAATGATCGTAATTTAACGGATATATTTTTATACTAAAAATTTAAATTTTCAAATTTCAAATTTTTTCTTCAAATTTTAAATTTCAAATTTTTTCTACCGAAATTCAAATTTCAAAATTCAACCGTTGAAATTCAAATTAAAAAATTTAACTGTCAAAATAAAAATTCAAAAAAATATAATTCATCTATAAATATGATCATTTTTCTCATGTTTTCATCCATCTATATTACATTCTCTCTATAAATTTAATATCTCATTTCTCTTTGACTATTTATCCTTTCATATTTACATTCATCAATCTATATGAATCGTTATCCTAATATTTTAGAGGAGATCCTCAATATTGAAGAAGAAAATAATGATTACTTGGATATGTTATATACTGTAATCAAAAGGTCAGAAGGGTCTAATTAGGGACAGATAAGAAGGCATCGTGGTTCCGTTCCAGGCCACAGAATAGTTAATCGTGGTAGAGTTGAAAGGCACGAAAGACTCTACCGTGATTATTTTGTTACTCCTTGTGTATATGAAGGTTTTTTTCGAATGAGGTTTCAAATGAGTCGTCCTATTTTTCTCCGAATTGTAAATAAGGTTGAACAACACGATCTATATTTCATCCAAACAACAGATGTTGTTGGAGTTCTCAGTTTGTCATCCCTTTAAAAGATAATAGCTACTTATAGAATTCTTGCTTACAGANGAGATGCATTTATAGTGCATAAAAGCAACTCTGAGGTGAGTTGTCATTTTTTTGGGGTGTCAAATGTTATTTTGTAATTTTAAACAGTATTTTGACATTCTTAAATTATAAATTTGCTCCAATAATAGGTGTCAAAATGGGGTGTCATTTTAATATTTTTATTAAAAATATAATTAAATTTAACGATTATATTTTAATTGGTATAGTTTTCATAATGATCGTAATTTAACGGATATATTTTTATACTAAAAATTTCAAATTTCAAATTTCAAATTTTTTCTTCAAATTTTAAATTTCAAATTTTTTCTACCGAAATTCAAATTTCAAAATTCAACCGTTGAAATTCAAATTAAAAAATTTAACTGTCAAAATAAAAATTCAAAAAAATATAATTCATCTATAAATATGATCATTTTTCTCATGTTTTCATCCATCTATATTACATTCTCTCTATAAATTTAATATCTCATTTCTCCTTGACTATTTATCCTTTCATATTTTCATTCATCAATCTATATGAATCGATATCCTAATATTTTAGAGGAGATCCTCAATATTGAAGAAGAAAATAATGATTACTTGGATATGTTGTATACTGCAATCAAAAGATCAGAAGGGTCTAATTAGGGACAGATAAAAAAGGCATCGTGGTTCCGTTCCAGGCCACAGAATAGTTAATCGTGGTAGAGTTGAAAGGCACGAAAGACTCTACCGTGATTATTTTGCTACTTCTTGTGTATATGAAGGTTTTTTTCGAATGAGGTTTCAAATGAGTCGTCCTATTTTTCTCCGAATTGTAAATAAGGTTGAACAACACGATCTATATTTCATCCAAACAACAGATGTTGTTGGAGTTCTCAGTTTGTCATCCCTTTAAAAGATAATAGCTACTTATAGAATTCTTGCTTACAGAACACCGACAAATTTTGTGGATAAATACATCAGAATTGGAGAAAACACTGTCATACAGAGTCTAAGAATATTTGTGAAAGCGGTTAATGTAGTGTTTGGCGACCATTACCTGAGGTCATTAAACAATATTGATTGCTACAGACGGGAGAACAACGTGGTTTTCCCGACATGTTAAGGAGTATTGATTGCATGCATTCGAAGTGGAAAAAATGTCCTACTGCGTGGCAAGGTATGTATACTGGTCATTGTCATGAATCAACAATCATTTTAGAAGTTGTGACTTCTCAAGATTTTTGGATATGATATGCATTCTTTGGGCTTGCTGGTTCGCTAAATGACATAAATGTTCTAGATAGGTTCCCCTGTTTTTACATTATTAGCAAATGATCATGCTCCTCTAGCCAACTATATAATTAATGGTAATGAGTATACAATAAAATATTATCTAGCTGATGGTATTTATCCAAACTGGTCGACATTTGTAAAAACAATTCCCTATCCATGAGGTTTGAAGAAAAAATATTTTGTTAAAGCATAAGAGTCGGTAAGAAAAGATGTAAAGCGGGCATTTGGGGTACTTCAAGCCCGTTTTGCAATCGTGTGTGGACCAGCACGCTTTTGGGATAAAGAAACACTTGCAGATATTATGAAAGCGTGCATAATAATACATAAAAAAAAAAATTGGTCAACATATTTATATTCACATCTAAAATTAAATCACAAATATAGAGGAGAAATAAAAAAATTTAAGCACCTATTATAATAGAGGTGAGCGGTGGTAGTGGTGGTGGGCGGCAATGGAGATGGTGGAAGATGGTGATGGTTGTAGTGGATAAGGCGACGATCGTGGTGGTAGTAGTAGTTGTGGGTGACAATGGTGATGGATTTTGAGTGACGATGATAGTAGTGGCAGCCGTGGATGACAACGGTGAGAGTGGTGAGTGTGGGAGGGGGTGGACGATGGTGATAGTGGTTGGTAGTGGTAGTGGTGGGAGGACGACAGTGGTGGTAGGTGGTGATGGTGGTGGTGGGCAACGATGGGTGCTTCTACACGACAATGTGATGGGTGGGGGAGAATGACGGCGATGGTAAGTGTGGTGGGGGTAGATGACAGTGGGTGGCTGCAGTGGTGGATGATAATAGGTAGTGGTGGTAAGTGTGGTGAGGTAGGTGACAGTGATTGGTGGCGATGGTACGCGACGATGGGTGGTGGTGGGTGCTAACGGTGGGCGACGGTGGTAGTGGTATGATGGTGTTAATGATAATAAATATAAGATGACGATGGTGGTGGTAGTTGTGATTGTCATGGAGGTGGTGGTGGGACGGTAGGGGTGGTAGAGGTGATGGTGGAACAATATCAGTGGTGGTAAGGTGCGACAGCGGTGGTGATACTAGTAGGGTGTGACAGCGGTGGTGATACTAGTAGGGTGCAACAACGGTGGTGATAGTGGGGCAATGAAAGTGGTGGTGGGATGGTGGGTATTGTAGGGTGGCGATAATGGTGGTGGTGGAGCAGTAGGGGTGGGGTGGGGGTGGTAGAGGTAGTGTTAGGGCGGTTCTAAACACTATTTTTTTCAAAAAAAAATACTTATGAGAAATAATTCCTAAAAGTATTTTTAAAAGTCATATCAAATACACCTTTAAGGGGCCTATTTTTCCTATTAAATTTGGAGAGTTAATATTAGCTGTTGGATTAACTTTAAAATAAAATTTAAAACGATCTAGATCGCCAAAAGAAAATTTTATTTTATTTATTTTTTAAGATTTGAATTGTGTTGTACTTTATTATAAATATTAGTTATTGTCTGCGTCTAAAGGTACAGAGTAATAAAAAAAATGGTCAACAATAATTATATTTGTATTCATATTCAAAATTAAATCACAAATATAGAGAAAAGATAAATGAATTTAAACATCGATTGTAGTGGGGTAAGAGGTGGTAGTGGTAGGAGACAGTGATGGTTGTAGTGGGTGGCAATGACCGTGCTGGTGATGGTAGCCGTGGGTGGCAACGGTGATGGTAGTAATGATAACCATGGGTGGCGGCAGTGGTGGACGACGACGAATGCTTCTAGACGACAGTATGATGGGTGGTAGTGAATGGCAATGGTGGCAGGGTGTGATTGGGGGTGGGTGACAATGGGTGGCAGTAGTGGCGAGTAGTGAAGTGGGTGATGGTAGGTGTGATGGGGGTGGGTGATAGTGGTTGTTGACGACGAGGTGGTGGTGGGCAACAATATGATAATGGTGGGTGACGACGATAGTCATGAGATGATAGTGGTAACGATAATAAATATAAGAATGTGATGATGATAATAATGAGTGGTGGCAATGACGATAATGATGGCGACAGTGGTGGTGGTAAGGGTGATGGTGGGATGACAACAGTAGTGGTGAGGGTGGTGGTAGTAGGGATGGTGATGGTGATTGTGGGGTAGAGATAATGCTAGTGATTGTTGGGGCAGTGGATGTGGTAACGACGTCGACGGTTGAGGTGGTGGTGGGGTGGCGACAGCGATTGTGATTGTAGTGGTAATGGTGGTGGTGGGACGGTGGGTGTGGTGGTGGTAGCGACGTCAACAGTGGTGGTGGTGGTGGTGATGGTGCTAGTCGTGGGGGTAGTGTTGATGGTGGTGGGGGTGATGGTGATAGTGGTGATGGTGGGGTGATTTCAGCCACTTTTTTTCAAAAAAATATACTTATGAGAAATTATAAGTTTTAGAAGTATTTTTAAGAAATTACTTCAAACACATTTTTTTTTTCCTATTTTTTGGGGGGAGAGAAAAGGAGACTTGAATCCTTGACCTCAAGAAGGTAAAATCTTTATAAGACAAAGAATATTATTTGACCAAAGGCCCATTAGTTCCAAACATACCCTTAGGCCTCTATTTTTCTTATGAAATTTGGAGTGTTAATATTAGTTCTTATATTAACTTTAAAATAAAATTTTAAAACGATTTTAACCGCGAAAAGCAAAAATCATTTTATTTATCTTTTGAAATTTAAATTTTATTGTATTTTATTGTATAGATATTTATTAACCCCCATTGTTTTGGTGTATGATTTTTTTATTTTACATTTTTCACAATTGTTTAGAAATCAAGACGATATCAAGCTTAAAGTGTTGTTTATTCTAATCTTTTTTTTGGTGCCGATGAAAATGAACACACAATCCACTAATTTTGTGTCCCCATAGTCGTGAGAACAGTCCATTCGATTAACCTCAAGCTTGTGAGTTACAAAGCTGAGCACAGCCACTTTATGCAAGTAACTCCGAAGTATATCTCAATGAATGTATCAATCCAAACATGAAGCCGCTGATATCGGCTTCTGCACGAATTCATTGAATGAACAGATCAGCAATCAGTGTATCAATGAGGTAGTGCAGTTTCCACAAAGCTAGGACACACCACATATGTACTAGCATAAGTAAAGTGCACATGGAAACTATTAAAAGGTACTGCGGTATGGATTTTGCAAAGGTTTCATNCTCAATGAATGTATCAATCCAAACATGAAGCCGCTGATATCGGCTTCTGCACGAATTCATTGAATGAACAGATCAGCAATCAGTGTATCAATGAGGTAGTGCAGTTTCCACAAAGCTAGGACACACCACATATTTACTAGCATAAGTAAAGTGCACATGGAAACTATTAAAAGGTACTGCGGTATGGATTTTGCAAAGGTTTCATGATTCACTCAAATGTCCAAGCATTCTCCCGACGAACCTCCTCTTCTTCCTCTGGAGTGAAGTCATTCTCGATGTTAAAGGTCTTGCGGATCTCCTCTGGAGTCTTTCCCTTAAACATATCAGCAACTGTCTGACAGGTCAGATCTAGCAGGCTCTTAATGTTCAAATAGTTTGCTGCCTGAAATGAATATTCCAACGANCCTCTGGAGTGAAGTCATTCTCGATGTTAAAGGTCTTGCGGATCTCCTCTGGAGTCTTTCCCTTAATCATATCAGCAACTGTCTGACAGGTCAGATCTAGCAGGCTCTTAATGTTCAAATAGTTTGCTGCCTGAAATGAATATTCCAACGACCCATCAATCAAATAGGTAAACAGAAAAAAAAAAAAATCAAATGTACACAAACAAAAGTTTCAAATTTCATCATGCATTGCCCACCATTCTGAACACAAACAAAATGTCACCCACAACTTTGTGTGCAACATGAAACCCATATGAATGGAACAAACACCAGTAAACTAAACCCCAAAGCAACTCCATGTCCGTTAGGTGCACAGATAACATCACCATAAGCTACTCAACATAAACACCAAACAAAGTCCATATATGGTCAAAGATAGTCCAAATATGACATTTAATGATAAACCCACAAAAGAAAATAATATGGCATTTAATGATAAACCCACAAAAGAAAATAAAAGCCAAGCAAAAAAACAAAACAAAACATAGGTTCACTTCCATCAAAACCTTTGGGTTTGAAAACAACATACCCACCCCCACCTGCACCTACCATTCATCCTTTCCTCTGTCCAAACACAAGTAGTCCAGATCCCAGACCGTGTCTTTCGTGAAATATTAACCGGAAGGAACATTGAAAAATGTTATCCACTAGGGTAAAAAGAATACCATCTATTGCATCTTCATAAGAAATGAACAATTGCTATCAGAACATGAACAAGAATCAATAGACAACAAAGTAAAAGGTCCAAACGAAACTGACTGCTATTAGATTTGCCTAGCTTTACACAAAAGATGAACCCAGACTCCTAATTGAGATATTTAAGCATGTCAAAAATATCAATTCCACTATTTTCAGATTTACTCCAGCTTTCCTAATAAAACATATGGCACAACTGTTGAGCAACACCACCTTATATTTTTTATCGCAAACAAATCAAGAAGTAGTAAAATTGAATCTCTCGTGAAACCTCTATCATCACCTACAGCTACACCTGCTAACACCCAAATTCCCATTGTCTGAATACCATAAAATACTAGACATCATCTTCGAACCGAAAGACCAATAAAATAATTAAAAGCTGTAAAGTCAAAAAGAATCACCAAAGTTAAATAACATGCACTCCTATTTCGTTTTTTTTTTTTATCACACAATGACATTTACAAAGTTCCAACTCGGAATCCACCATCAAATTTTCGTAATGATTGACATCTAACCAACTAACTTCTCACAATCATATTGTTTATCATATGTAAGGGTTAATTACAAATTATATTCCGAAAGATCGTTTAAATTTTAATTTACACCATCAAATATAAAAATTTATATCAATTTGCACCCCCCAAAGATCAAAAATTTTAATTTGTACCCTTAAAGATAAAAATTTATATTAATGTGCACCCCCAAAGATCAAATTAAACGTCGTCAGTTTGTTGCCTAAAATTAAATTGATAAATTATACTTAAATCTCCTTGTGCTTGTCATTTAATCATTTAGATCCCTTCATATTTAGAATATTACTTCTATATCTCATGACGTTTATGCACGTGTAACATATAACTAGTAATATCTATTGCATGTCTTTCTTTTCCTGAGGCGGCCTTTTTTTTTTATATGTTCACCGTTCTATCAATTTATAACAACTATCTGTGACATGCTTGGAAATGAAATGACTATGCTGCATAGATCACCCGAGGACCCCAGTACTTCCCACACGACGGTTGGTGCAGGCTTTTTGCTATTAGAGAGACACAAACTCAAAATATATCAACTTATACTTTTTTTTCTTGTTTGATAATTGAACCAATCTCTACAAACCCAAAACGATCGATTATTAATTAGTTAAAAATTATCGATACACGGAGAGATCTGGTTCTAGGTTTTTTTTTAAAATAATTTATACTCCCAAGAATAGAGATATTCGTATAGTTAGACACAAAATGAATCTCAAGGACTGCCAAATTAATTGGTGAAAAAGCTGGATCAAAGTATAGGTGTTTGTGTACTTCCTTACCCTAATTTATGGACAAGATCAGAAAGACAAATACAACTGATAGGTTAAGCCTAAATAGTCTAATTTATGTGTTAAAGTCCAACTCCAGTTGAGGAGCCCAACCTCATTTTTAATCCACCAAGTCCAAGACAGTCCAAGACCGGTTAGACTTCTTGCTTAGCACGTCATCAAGAGGAGAGCACGGGAAGCTTATCTGCACCGCCAAAGGAAACGGTCCAAATCCACCAAGTCCAAGACAGCCCAAGACCGGTTAGACTTCTTGCTTAGCACGTCACCAAGAGGAGAGCACGGGAAGCTTATCCGCACCACCGAAGGAAACGGTTCAATCTTTGACCACGTTTCATGAAGAGCTCCCNGAAACGGTCCAATCTTTGACCACGTTTCATGAAGAGCTCCCCAACCTCTTCCTTCCGTTGAGGATAAGTCGTGATCTCCACCAAAGATAATCTCTTAGCTGCGATAAAGAAGCCTTGAGGATATGTCATGATCTCCACAAGAATGATCTCTTAGCGGCTATAAAATAGGTTCAAGCTGGTAGAAAGGGACACATGCTCCATCAGAGACTTACAGAAGACGAACCGACTACCGGAGATTACTATTTTCTTTGATTCTCCATTCTCTCTCTCAAAGCTTGTATTTCTATTCTTCATACCTTTGAATCAATAAAATACCCGACGACTGAAGTCATTGAAGAGTGGACGCAGGTCGAATTGACCGAACCACTATAAATTGTGTCTTCTTTAATTTTTTCGTTGATTTCATTGCATTTATTATCTACACTTGACAGGTGGTGTGCAAAACCATTTTTGTGCATCATCAACAACATTAGACAAAAAATAAAAATTGGAAAACTTAATCGAGACGTGCATAAATTAGTTCAGACATTTTTAATTGTTGAAACAAAAAATAAAAGAAAAAATTGGGAAACTTAGCTCCCATTGGAGCAATGGGAGAACGATAAAACCCGTATTGAAAGGATAAAAAATGTCATTTTATCTTTTTTCCACTTAATAAATGTAATAAATTCAACAAAATTAAAGAATAACATGAGATTTAAATCTTATCTTTTATTAATGTTTGCATGAAAGGGATATTAAGATGTTACAACACCATCATTTGTTGTATATCAGGCAATTTTCACGTCATTTTATCAAACTTAAGGGATATTAATATAATTTATCAAAAAAAAATGAAAAAGACTATAATACCTGGAAAAAAAAATCGTACATTACCTTCAAAATTTTATAACTTTAATGAGTGTTTTTATATCTTTTATGGGCTATTTTATAATAAAAAAAATTATAATTACAAAGTGGTAAAAATGTCCAGAAAAATTATAAAAATACCTATAAAAATTATAAATGACAGTACAATACCCAATTTTAATTTTTGGTACCATAGACAAATACAAAAAAAAAAAAAAATGTCCCCGGAAGATATGTAAATCAGTGCCTTATTTCACCTAACCATTTTACTGAATCTCATCGAATACTGTACATCAAAAGTAAAAAAAACAATCTCATTTAATGTCAACCAGTTCTATACTGGTGCATTGAATGTGAAATTTTCAGCAAATACACTGTGTACTCGGAAAAAGCGACCAACATTGTCTTTCTAAAATATATTTCATTTCATTTTTTTGGGGGGTGGGATTCAGTTTACCTTGTCATTCTTCTTTATATATATATATATTTTTTTTTTTCCTGTAATTGGCAAGGAAATATCAATCAGTAAACACACAGCATATATTTGACACACATAGTTACACAGTTGTAATAACCATAACCCATACATTATATGCGAATTTATCATGCTTGATATAAAAATTTACGTTTCAGCGGACCCCCCTGGCAACATCTCCAGTATCAACCAAGCATGCACATTCAGATATCCACACCCTGATCAGAAAAGTTAAGTAGATAGGTTTGTTTGTGTAAAAGATGATGTAGCAAATATACAATGTTATCAACATTCTTCATAAGCTAATATACAGATTATGAGATATCCTTAGAAAAGAAAAACTCGATACAACCCATACAGCTTCAGTACGTATATCTGCACCAAGAGGCCATACATATCAAGCTGTCTGTGCTTACAGCTTTGAAACAGGTAAACCTGGGACGGATTAAAAAGTTTGTGCATAAGACAATCTTCTAATATATTGCGTGCCAAGATTGGAGAGCTCAAAAAAATTTTAAGAAAAAATTACCTAAAGCTTTTGAATTGACAATGCTTGGGCATGCTGCAGGTGGTGGAGATTTCTCGTTCATGAATGGCTCTACACGGTTTGGATCACCCCAAATCGGGTATCCTTTAATTTTTCCCTGTATAGTTAAAGATGGTCGACAGTTTATTTCGAGTTTTAAACCTTGGTCTAATGTAGCTGAAACAAAAAATTGGAGTCCCAGTTGAAATCGAAATCAGATAGCCTCAAGTTTTATCCCCCAAATTCCTTACCAGGACATTCAAAGCAGCCAGTGTTGCCATTCCTTCCCGAGTCCACTACATAAAGCACATAGGAATGTAAGTAATTTCAACAAAAATAAGTAGCAAATCTCAGCCTGATAAATCAACAAACAATAAAGTCTATACCCAAAAATCTGTCTTTGAATATAAACGAGTGTGTTAGAAAAAGTTCAGCAGTATTACCTTGGAAGCAGAAGCTATGTGAGGTACCACAATTGCATTCTTCATGTCAGCAAGCCCAGGTTTCATGAACGGTTCATCCTAATGAAACATCATTTACAAACTTAAGGGGGATTTTCATACAGGAATCTGAATACAAGAAAAGGAGACAAAACTCGCTGTTTGGATACCTCAAAGACATCAAGACCAACTCGAAACATGGGATTTTCCTTCAGATGCTGCACAAGTGCTACCTCATCAACCACAGGCCCCCTACTGCAGTTCACCAGGATTGCTTCCTATATATTTGGATTGCATGACATCAAGACATTGGCTACCATACCTATTCCTTAAATTAAACTGTCAAGAAAAGAGAATTTCTGCATAAAATTACCTTCTTCATCTTTGCAAGTCTTTCTTTGTTGACAAGATGATAAGTTGTTTTATCCAGGATAGGATGAAGACTTATCTACAAAAGGCAACAGTATAAAGACAAACCATTGGAAATAGAAAATTTTGCTTGTGTTTGATAGACAACAAGATTAGAAAAGAAAACTTAAAGAGTGGTTTAATGCACATGTATGATTTTAAGAAAGTGTCTAACCACATCAGCCTCGCGAAGCACCTCATCCATGGTTGATGCCCTCTTCCAAGTCACAGGTGGTTCACCATTGGCTTTTAGAAACTGACCATAGGCTGCAATGTCAAAACACATAATCATTTGCAAGGAGTCGTGGAATTGAATTGAATAGCTTATCATATTGACTGAGGCATGCCTGTGACAAACTTTTCCAGACGGGTTGATTGGTATAGGTCAAAGTAAATCAGATTCATTTTAAACCCTTCAACCTGGAGAAAGTAGAAAATTAGATTGCTTGATCATAATAAAATTCTCTCCTTGGAATTCTTCTGAACTCGCAAGAGTCAACTAATTGTCATAGGAATTGATGCACAAAAAAGAGGTTGATAATGAAAACAAATGGTAACAGTCCCATGGTTATCCTGAAACAATGGACAAAATAATATAACTGCAACAAATTTTATTACTAAATCCTACTTATAAAATTTCGGTTGCAGTTCTTAAACAGCACAACTTTGTTTTGGTAAAAAACTGACCAACTTGTAGAACACTATTTCTGCAAGTACGAAATGGAAATGCTATTTACACTCCCTTTTTTTACTGTTGCACTCTATCTCCATTGAAAATTCCACAAAGCAGCTGTGATTAATCTCCAATAAGATGTGCACCTATATGATTTTGCAAATTGAATGATAGGTTTAAAAGGGACATCCACCAACTACTTCAAATGTGGTATGATGTGTCGAAACTGACGCAAGTTTATTCAGCACCTTGGAATTCAGCCAATTACAGGGGATTGAATGGAGATTACCAGATTACATATGATGAGAGAGTAAAAATTACCATCATTCTAGCATAAGCAGAACCAATACGACCAGCTCCAATTACACCAACAGTCTGTCCTTTAAGCAAGTTTCCCACAAAACTATCAGAGAATATAACGCGATCATGCAATTAATCCATGCAAAAAGAATTGAATTCTCAAAGACATTAGTACAAACAACAGAAAGACAATGAAATGGAATTAATGGTGGTCATACAGATGAGGAAGCCATCCATCATATAAGCCAGCCCTCATGAACTCATCTGCTTCAACGATTCTTCTAGCTGCTGATAAAGAAAGTGAGGCTGCTAACTCTGCCGTCGTCTCTGTTAATACTCCCTGACCATTTAACCATAGAATTCTCTAAATACCTTTAAGTAAACACACAGTACACTTGGCTCGCTCTCTCGCTCACACACACACATGAACTTCTTGTTATGTTCCCAAATGACTGATTAAATTGCCCAGCACATGCTTAAGTATCCATTAACTTCCATACATATCCTATGAAACGCAAACACAAACATAACATAATGCCTAAGGTAAATGGACTTACAGGAGTGTTTCCAACGGCAACACCATACTTAGTGGCAGCATTGACATCAACGTTGTTGTATCCCACAGCCATGTTACTGAAGGCTTTTCCTCCTGCTCTGCTCAGCGCAGAGAACAGTGTCTCTCCCCAATCTTCAGTTAACTAAATACACACACAATCCACAAAAATTTCAAATATTCATATACCACAAATCCAATTCACAAGTTAACAATCCACTTCTCCTCATCTAAATAGAAAACCCATTTATATTTACAAGATATACAAATATACAAACCTGTCCAATGACTCCGTCGCACTTATCGCCTATCAGAGCAATAATTTCTTCAACAGATAAGATTGTTTTCTTCTGAGTGCATATCTGAACATGATGGTGAAAAAAATTCAGAACAATATTACATTATTGATGCCAAGAACAAGACCAAAACAATATAATAATGTTAGGCTTACTTCAACACGACAATCTTGTTGGATCAAGAGATTAATCCATCGGGTTCCGGGCATCGGTTTCGTGCTGACCACTCTGTATTTCCCATTTGGGTTCCAAACCTCAATTGAAACTGGCTTCGCCATTGAACAAAGCTTTAGAGCAGAAAAGCTCAGTAGCTCAGTCTACTGAGAGTATGTCCGATGTGGGTGTTTCATTGAGCAAGCGGAAGCTGGATTATAATTGTTTTCAAAAGCCTCTGTTTTTTTTTTTTTCCATGGAGAATTTGAACCTCACGTTTGGCATAGATAAATGGAAATATGGCTTCATGACACGTAAGGGGGCCCTATCCATTTTATCGATAGAGAGACCTAACCTTTCGGCTCTGAACGCCAGACACCAATCAAAGCAAAACAGACCACCATATGAGTTAAGACAAGAAGTGACTTCTGGGCTTCTCAACCCAAAAGAAACATACATTTTTGGGTTCTACGTATTTGGACTTCTGGTTTTTTTTACATCTACTGGTGTGACATGGATCAAATTTTATTCGAATTTTTGTCATGTGACGATACTAAAGTTCAATACCCAGTCTTAATTAAATTCACACAATTATTCACAAGAATAATATATCGAACAGAATATAGGCACGAATCAAACATACAGAGCCACACGAGATTAGAGGCCATATATCCCAACTTTTTTCTTCTCAATAAGTTTAAAGGATTTCTGATTATGATTCTACTTACAAAAATGTGTTCAAATTCTCTTGATTTCCTACGGACCCTAGCAATCTATATATAAAGCTATACACAATGGTTACAAGCCCAACCATCTAGGCAATGCTAGCGCCAACTAGCTTTGGACAACTCAGTCAAGTAGTTAACATCCCAAACTACTAAGTTTGTCGGCGTCAATCAGATTCACCCTCAAGAGTTAGGGGTGATTCTGTCACTCCCCACAGTGTGTTGAACATGGTTGGGTGGTTCTGCCACTCACCCTGAATATGTTGAACATGCCTGAGCAGTTGCTTGACTTAGCCAGCCACTACTCGTTATCACCCTGTTGTGCACATGTCAACAACTACTTAGAACCGTCCCGCATATTGTGCACATGTCATCAACTGCTCATAACCATCTCACATGATGTGCACATGCGTTCCTTGTGAGCCAACAACACTTGATTTCTCTTGCCTGTGTGTTAAGTCATGCCTAACCCATGATTTAATCTTCCAAGCTTGCAATACACCACAATTGGAGCCTACCGGATAAGCCTTACTTGCTTATTTGTGCCCAATATGACCATGCATGTGATGCCTTCCTCATCAATGCATGGAGTTTCCAGCAACGACAGGTTTCACGGATCATCGATCCCACATCTCAGTTCTCGAATTTTTGCATGCATTATTGAGGTCATGACTTGCTTTGGTATTCCAAGGCTAGGGGGTATAAAGGTTACCAATCTAGCACCCTTTTGCAGAGCACCCCCTATAATAGCATTAATGAGTAAAACTCTAGTTGTAGTAACTGACATCTGGTGAACCGAAAAGTCATAACTACAATAGTCGGCAACATAGCTGATACATACTGCCTGGAACTTTTGTTTAACACATTTGATACCAAACCAGGGACGCAACCAAGTCCTTAAGAAGCCATCTTTGTACAAAGGGGTTATCTGACCAAATATACCTCCACCTTGGCTAAGACATAGGGTACCTTTGGGCAAGGCATTCGCATGTCGTAGCCATGCCAACCAGCTAAAATGATAATAGCAGGCAACTAGAACTCACGATTATAATCTAGGGGTGTAATTTGAGCGGGTTAATTCGTATTCAACCTAACATTTTTAGTGTTTGAATTTAAATTTTGGGCTAAAAAATTCTAACCCCAGCTTCAACCTGAGTTGAGTTTGGTACACAATTTGAATCAAATAACCCGAGTTCAATTTGAATTTAGAAAATTTATCACCAATTGGGCTCAAGTTAATGTTGTAAGGTTAAAACTTGGGTTGGGTTAGGCTAAGGGTAAAGATTTTATATTATGGATTAAGCTTGGATTGACCATTCAGGCCTCAACCAGTCTAATGGGGAGTGGTTTATTGTCAAGAAGAATATTTATGTTACAATACAAAAACATTAGAGTTCTTATATTCCTGTTAAAATTCTGAGGGAACTTCATGCAATTAATTAAGCATTAAATCCTACAACAACAAACTTAGTAATTAAGATTTTATATTATCGATTAGTGGGTTTTCGTGTAATTATTTAAAAATTATTCGATTGCTTGAAACACAAAAAATACCCAAAACATTAATCGATAAGATCAAGCACTTACATCTCATAATGGACATATAAACGAGTCCAAATACAAAACACCTACGACTATGTCACACCCACATTATTCCAAAGTAGACTACTCTTTTATGGCTGGCCATGCTCTCAAGTCTCAACGACCGTTTGTAGTCATTTGGGTCAATATTGGAGTGTCATGACTTTTTCTTCCTCTTTCCTTTTGTTTTTTGTTTTTTGTTTTTTTTTTTTTTTTTTGGGGGGAGCGGTTGACTTTTCTAGTCAGTGGGTGAGGTGAAATGGACCTGTATTTATTTTTATTTCATGTTATGCATTCACTGATCCTAAAAGATAAAAATTTAATTTATTTGACTAGAGAAAAATTGAAAGTTTTATAAATGCTATGTTTGGATGGAGGCATATGGATTTGTAATTCTTTTTTGAAAAATTGAGAGATTAATGAATTATTTAAATTTTTCTAGTTTTATTTACATTTTCTTTGAATTCAAATGCTCAGTACTTAACCTCTTTTTTTTTTTCTTAATACTTTCATTTTATCACTTTCAATTTATATTATATTTAAATCATATCTTGTTAACATATATGTAATTTATTTATAATTATTTATAATGTTGAGTTCGTATTATGTATAAATTATATTTAGTAAATTCATATTAAATTAAAATAGATTTTATTGATTCATTTATTTTGACAAGTTTAATGAATATGTTTATTTATCACTCAAACCAACTAACATCAATTTTAAACTTATTAATTCCTCCTTTTGGTGTCAAGAATAGCTTTAGATTTAGAATTCTTGCGAGAATTACCTATTTTTTATTTTTTTAATTCAATTATGAAAAATATTTAAACTACTCTCATTCCTGCTACGATGGAAGGCAAAAACAATTCTTTATATTCAGAAAACAAATATAAAAAAGAACAAAACTTCAATTTACAGTTAAACTTCTAAGTAGGAGGTTAGTGGTAGTTTATCCTTAGCTTCCCCATCTTCACTGCCTTCTCTGCCAGATCTCTATCCCTAAACCTCTTTCAAGGCCAGAGAACATCAAAGAGAGAGAGAGAGGGCCGATGGAGAAGCTTATCTACTCTAACCCCATCCCTTCAAAACTCCATCTAAAACCCTATCCTTTTCTGACACGACTCGGCCGAGTTGACGCCCCAAAACTCGTTCTTCCGTCATCACGGCGCACCGAGTCTCAGCGAGTCAACTCGTTTTCCTGCAAACAGGAAGACCCATATTCTAATTCCTCCTCATCAAATTCTCCAATTAATTTTTCTGATAATTACACAGCAAAAGCATCTTCAACGGTGGATTTTCCAGATGGGTCTGTGCCCAAACCCCAATTTCTCAAACAAATCGCCGATGCATTCCCTAGGCAACAAAAGGTATTAATTTCCACTCGATTTTGGATACATACACGGGCGTAAATTCTCTTAGCCTATTTTTCGTTAATCTTTTCATGTAATTTGAGGATTGCTATTTCAAATTTCAATATGAAGTATTATTATTTGATCCATAATTGTTTATTGGCTTGTTCTGCTGTAATTTGGTGTCCATTCATATTCATGGTTTCAAAAGTCTGGGTTTGGGAGAAATGCTTGTTTGGTTTATGAGAAAGTGAGTTAATAGAAAATTTTGGATTATCCTTAGATCCCAAACAGTCAAGGCATGCATAGTTTATTTCATTTTCCTCTGTTTATCACTAGTCAAGGTAGCATGAACAATTTTAAGAGAATGGTTTGGAGTTTTTTTTTTTTTGGCCTTTTTAACTAGGGAGATGGGTTATATAGAATGAAGTTGAAAAACAAGTGCACTACTTATTGTTTGCTTGTTGGTGCTTATTCTCTTTCATGATTTTTACAGCACCTTTTGCTGTCTCCAAGGTTCTTATGCATAACTAAAAGGGTTTTTTAGATACATTGGTGTCATTTTTTTTTGCTGTATTGTGCCAACTGTGTTTTCGGTGTCCTTGTCCCCTGTTTCCCATTTCAACTATCAGTAACCAAGCTTTGTACATTAAGATTTCTGATAAAATTTACACTGGATGCTTGTTGAAGTGGCCCTTTTCTTTTTCTTGAGCTTCAATCATTTTCAGTCAAAATGGGAAGGCTATTCCCCGATTATGTAAAAAAAATTTGCTGTGTAATTGAAACTGCTGAACTTTTACTGAATTCATGAGAAACAAAAGGCTGAGATGCTTAAAAATAAATGAATGAATGAACCCCTCCCAAAAAAAAACTGTTGAATTCTGATGAATATTATGTCGCTGGAAGAGTGAGCTTGGAGAAATCACGGCTCTGGGGCGGCGAGGCAAAATAGACAGAGTAATGTTTATCATGCAATTAAAATAACTCTCTAATCTCCTTGGTATGGACAATGTTTAAAAATCTGGAGGNGCGAGGCAAAATAGACAGAGTAATGTTTATCATGCAATTAAAATAACTCTCTAATCTCCTTGGTATGGACAATGTTTAAAAATCTGGAGGTGTGGTGATTTGTATAGATACTGCTAGTTTGAAAACTTATTTATTTTGACAAATCCTTTTTCTAAATGTTTCAGGCAGTTGCTGCAGGGACGGTGATACTACTCTCAGCTCTTTTTATGATATTTGTGTCACCGGCGTTTGCTTCTTTCCAAACTGCGGCTAAGACTGGTGGTACAGCTGCAGCTGTGGCAGGTGGTAGACTCCACCCTGAATTATTAAGTAGTGCGTGGACTGGTTTCTTTGCCGGTTGCTTACACACTCTATCAGGACCTGACCACCTTGCTGCTTTGGCTCCACTTTCGATTGGCCGCACCCGGTTGGAAAGTGCTGCTGTTGGAGCTCTCTGGGGCTGTGGCCATGATGCTGGACAGGTGATTTTCGGCTTACTGTTTCTAATTCTGAAGGATCGACTCCATATTGAAGTCATCCGAACCTGGGGCACTAGAGTGGTGGGCTTTACACTACTTGTTATCGGTGGCATGGGCATCAGGGAAGCATCAGAAGTCCCTACCCCATGTGTTTCCCTTGAAAATGGTGAATGCGACATTGGCGTCTATGAAGCCCTTGAGAACCCAGCGATTGGGAAGAAAAAGAAGATTGGGTTTGCTACTTTTGCCACAGGGATTGTCCATGGTCTGCAACCTGATGCACTGATGATGGTCTTGCCTGCACTTGCTTTGCCATCTCGCTTGGCCGGCGCTGCATTTCTATGTATGTTTTTAGTTGGGACTGTAGTTGCAATGGGGAGTTATACAGTCTTTATAGGCTCTTGCAGTCAGGCACTAAAAGAGAGGGTCCCTAGGATAACTGAGAAGCTCACATGGGCTTCTTCCCTTATAGCAATCACTCTAGGATTAGCCATTCTCATCAGTCAATTTTTCGGGTATAGCTTGTATTAATTCAAGCTTTGCATTTCATTTGATACCCCTAGTGTTAGGAAGAGATTTTGAGAGGAATTTACCCTTTCAGCAACAAAAATTCATCTTTCCAAAACGTTGTATCTCGATTAGATATTTCATCCTTGATTACTTATCATGTTTTCCTTTCGAGGCTGTAGTTTATATGTAAGGGTGTGCAAAAATCTGAAAATCCGACTCCGGTTCAACTCTGTCTCCGTTGGAGTCAGGAAGAAAATCCATAATCCAGTCGGAGTCTAAAGGCCTTTTTGAAAAAACATCGACTCCAACTTTTATTAATAAATAATTTTATATAAATTATAAGTTATATTATTGCATAAGGTTAGAGTATTCTTATCCTATCAAGCTTGGTTTCAATGGGTTCCGTGGATTGCTCTTTCTATAGTTATCAATGGAATGTCCTAAAGCTTATGGGTTGCTATTGCGCTTCCCGTTCCCTTGTGTTGTGATGGGTTATTGGTGAGTGACTCTTCCTTCACGAGCTCTGACACCAAACATTCAATTTAATAAAGAAGTTTATAGAAGTAATGTTCAAAAATGCACAGAACAATCAACTAAAGATAACAAGGAGACCCTGAAGAGCTAACTGTTCCCGTTGTATGCGGAAGTAGGTATCCAAACTACAGCCATCATTCAATAAATGATTTAAGACTCCGATGCTTCATCAAACATTTTTCTATCTTNCCTTCACGAGCTCTGACACCAAACATTCAATTTAATAAAGAAGTTTATAGAAGTAATGTTCAAAAATGCACAGAACAATCAACTAAAGATAACAAGGAGACCCTGAAGAGCTAACAGTTCCGGTTGTATGCGGAAGTAGGTATCCAAACTACAGCCATCATTCAATACATGATTTAAGACTCCGATGCTCATCAAACATTTTTCTATCATTAAACAGTCGAGAGTTAAAGGGACTAGGAAGTTAGAATATATGAAGCATTTCTCTTAAACACGTTGGAGCAGGGAGCTTTGCAATCAGCACATTACTGCTTCCGCTTTTTGTTGATGTCATACAGCACACATGCATCAGCAGCTGTCTTCATCTGAAAGCATAATACGAATTCCGAATAAGAGCATATCACAACAGTTATACAGAACTACTCAGCCACCCAAATAATAAATTGAAGAACGTATCTATCTATTACCAAATACAAAGGAAAGGGCAACCTAAAAGTATCCATCCATTCTTATATCTGAGTAGAGGGGATTGGCCTGCCCGGTCATTCCATTGCTAAATGTTGCACATGGTAATATTTTAAAAGGGTAAATATAACTACATAGGAGGAGAAAACAACACCACAAAAGAAACAGTCCAGTTAGGAAGATACACAGAACACCTGACCAGCTGTTGGGTTGATTGCCTATTGAGATACTATTTTAAAAAAACCTACCACGCTTGTCCTAACATGTGCAACACACACCCCTCCTTAAAATTAAGTGGGACCTACAAATAGTTACATAAACTGCTTGACGTTGAAATATTCCAATATAAATAATTTTGATAAAATAACTAAAATAAGTATCCGAAGCATATACACATGTATATTAGTAATGAGCCGATCATGAAATGTGCATAGAATGGAGAAAATGCAGCTCAAAGTTCAAATTAATAAGCTTTAAGATGTTCAAGGTTAATAAAATGTTAGCATTCTCCCAATAGTTCCAGAAGACCCCATTATGGATTCTTGATAAGTAAGAAAAATTATGTAGAAAGGACCTCATAGGGATTATTTGAAGGCATTGATTGTTACCTGTATAATGTTGACAATTTGCTTGATTGCCCATCCAAACAGAAGTAAAGCTAGTAGAGTAGAATAAACTAAACTTTGTTTTGCAGCATCCATTAAAACCTAAAAGAAAAGTATCCATTAACCAACATTATATTGATGAATCCTCTCAACATTCAGATAGACACTAAAAACCTCAACAAAATTAAAACCTTACATTGGTCATACTTTCAGTCTGGTTCTTAGCAAGAAGAAATAAGGTTAGGTAAAGAACCTGCCAAACCAAAACACTCCAACTCCAGTCAGTAGCACAATTTAAATTAATGAAATCTCTTAAAAAGCAAGAACACCAAAGAGACATTCACCTCACAGGCTATACAACAATAACCCATAAATATCCGGTTTCCATAGTATGCCTTGAACAGCCAATTAGTGCTGTCTTTTACATCCTTATGTGTAGATTTACCTACCAAGAAAGTACTGCAATAAAAATCAAAAATTAATGTTGTAAAATTAAGGATTCAAAGGAAGTTCAGATGTAATCTAATGAATATAGTTGAAGATTCAGCCAGCATTCTATTAAAGCCTTATTCAGTTTTGGAATTAGATGTGAAAGATGTATTATCGCAAAGTTCAATACCTATACATTTGCAGCCAATGGCTGGCAATATCCAAAGCAAGCAATGACAAGAAAGTGAAGCCAGGCCTGGAAACATCGGGTGGAAACATGTATTATGCAGGTAAAAGGTTGCTGAGAAACCATTACCATCACAGCTAAGAAAATTCTACCTATAAACTTGGGAGAGAATCACCAGTAGACCAGCAGTGCTAATCCTGGGAGATAACTCATAGAAATCAGGATACAAAGTAAGAATAAAGGTAGAATTCAGAATCCATGCGGGTAAATACCACAAAAGGAGCTTACAAAATATTGGAGGGAAATTAGAGAGGAAATGGAAGTTTTACAAATGATAACCTATCTGTCACCATGTCCAGAACAGCTCCAAAGGTTGAAACTGAACCAAGAAAGGGAAAAAGGTGAATCAAATGCCACAGCACATCTCGCATATTCTTTTTTTGTTATGTTTAACCAACACTCTTCATTATAAATCATTGTACTGAGTCATATAAACATGTACCACCAAACAAAAGAATTTAAAAGAGTGACAACAAAGAAAGGGGTAAAGAAAGAATTTCTTAACATTAGTCACCATAAGACAAATTGTGTCATTTGTAGTGCTTTAGTGAATCCCATAAACTCAAATTCAGGCAAAATTATTTTCAGAAACATTTCAAATTCTCCAAAAGAAGGATANAATTTCTTAACATTAGTCACCATAAGACAAATTGTGTCATTTGTAGTGCTTTAGTGGATCCCATAAACTCAAATTCAGGCAAAATTATTTTCAGAAACATTTCACATTCTCCAAAAGAAGGATATTGTTACCAAACTTGCTCTTACCACACTTGGAGATATATATACAAAAAGAGAGAGAGAGAGAGAGGACATTCAAGCAAAAAGCTTTGACTTAAAAATAGAATCTATTTAGAATTTCAGGATCTGTGCTGCTTTGTTTTGTATCTATCCAGTTCATTATTCCATGCTTTTATTCAAGCCCACATGTTATCGCAACCATAAATTACATCACTAACAGAAATTGAATCTAATATGCAAATGAGGTGTCAAAGTAACATATCATTCTTCACAATGAAACCAAACAAATTCATACCTTGATTGAATTTGCGGGCAAACCAACCATCCAAGGCATCACAGACAAAGCTGAAATCACAAATTCAGTCATTCAAAACTACAACTTCAACTTCTACAACAATCAAAATCCATAAAACTTATAAACATAGATTCTCACCTAACAAAATAGAGACATGAAAAAAGCTTTTTGTCAGAAAAGTATATGGCAAAGGCAATGCAATTCATCAGAATTCTTATATATCCTGCATAAAGAAAAAAATCAATAAACGCGTAGGTATAATAGCATCCTTCAAAGAACAATACACGAGAATTCTTATCCATCCTAACTGCNGTATATGGCAAAGGCAATGCAATTCATCAGAATTCTTATATATCCTGCATAAAGAACAATATCAATAAACGCGTAGGTATAATAGCATCCTTCAAAGAACTATACAAGAGAATTCTTATCCATCCTACCTTCNGAAAAAAATCAATAAACGCGTAGGTATAATAGCATCCTTCAAAGAACAATACACGAGAATTCTTATCCATCCTAACTGCCAGGCAGACATTTATTACCCAATTATCTTTTAGGAAAAATAGTTATTGATGAGGCTAATTATCCAAGCAAATTCTTGTGTACCCATTTAAGCATTGTGAATTCTACACACTAACAAGATCCAACAATTAACACACTCAGGTTTACCACTGCAACAAGAAGAAAAAATCAATTATCCCAGAGAATTCTAATATATCCAAATCTGAGCAAATAGATCAACAACTTATTGCCAACATATTACAAGCAAACAGCTACATTGCGTGTACACATATAAACATAATTATTTAATGAACTCATCGGAAGAATAACAAGCTACAGAAATTGCAGATGATTTTTTTCTTTTTTAATTCTGAATATCAACATGACCGTATAGTGTCTACTAAACTCAGCTGCATAACAGTAAGATACAAACCATTGCATCTCAAGGGTCCCCCAAATACGTCATATACAATAAATCCATAGGAATACAAATTTTTACAAACTGAGAAACAAAAAAACCACCTTCCAAAAAAGAGAAACAAAATAACCATGAAGAATCATAATATGAATTGTTCACAACAAAGTGTAATCTCCATCTAAGGTAGAGTATTTTTTTTCTTTCAGCAACCCCAATTATATGTCCAAGATCACAATCTAAGAAAGTTAAAATGCTTAGAAACCCACCAATGATGTTGGGAATGTAGAGGTAAACGGTCAATGTGTCGGGTCTCAAATCCTTGGCCATTGTCGAAACTTCTGCTAGATTTGTATAAAGAGCTTCNTCCAAGATCACAATCTAAGAAAGTTAAAATGCTTAGAAACCCACCAATGATGTTGGGAATGTAGAGGTAAACGGTCAATGTGTCGGGTCTTAAATCCTTGGCCATTGTCGAAACTTCTGCTAGATTTGTATAAAGAGCTTCTGAGTTGCGAATCAGATCAATCTTTGCCCTGCATACCCAGATTGTCTATCAGTTCATCTAGTAATTCTAATTTCTACATGTATTTGGCGCCACACATACCTTCAGCATGTAGAGGGACTTAGGTTCACATATTGTCCCTACAGATANTTCTGAGTTGCGAATCAGATCAATCTTTGCCCTGCATACCCAGATTGTCTATCAGTTCATCTAGTAATTCTAATTTCTACATGTATTTGGCGCCACACACACCTTCAGCATGTAGAGGGACTTAGGTTCACATATTGTCCCTACAGACATACCAAATTTATACACCTCCTATAGCACATTGATGCATTTGGTAAAAATCATCTTTACTCTTCACATTATTACTAAAAATTCAAAATATTTTTAACAGAAATTTACTTTTTTCTTGTCAAGTACTAAAACTATAAATATCTGCTACCTATCAAAAAAAAATTCTTCTGCTATTACCTACAATAGAAGTGGCTTTAAAATTATTTTAACTTTCCTTTTCCTGTTCCGAAGATACTTTCACTTGCTTGCTGTGTACATACATTATATCAATCATTGAAGTATTCGTCATATAGTAACAATAAATCGCCTGTCTATGTTNTATCAATGTGCACCTAAAATTAAATTAATAAATTATACCTTGATCCCCTCATGTTTGTCACTTAATCATTTGAACTCCTTCACATTTAGAATATTCCCCTTACATCTCATGACGTTTATGCATGTGTAACACATAACCACTTTTCGTTGATATATATTAATATAATCGTTAAAAAATATGATTTTATCCTAATATAAAATTATAATTTTATATTATCTTTTATTTTGTGGATTCGATATACTCTAAAGTTGAAAATCAAGCTTACCATTTGAATGTCTAATAAAATGTAGATATTTATATAAAAGGTAATATGAAAAATATTATATAAATATTTATATTTTATTAGACATTCAAATGGTAAACTAGATTTTGAACTTTATAGTATATTGAACCTATAAAATAAAGGGTAATATGAAATTATAATTTTTTATTAGAATAAAATTATATTTTTTAACTGTTATATTAATAGATATCAATGAAAATGGGTTACGTGTTATACGTGCACAAATGTCATAAGATGTAGGAGTAATATTCTAAATGTGAAGAGGTTTAAATGATTAACTAACAAATATGAGGGGATTTAGGTATAATTTATCAATTTAATTTTAGGTGCACATTGATACAAATTTCTATCTTTGAGGTGTAAATTGAGATTTTTTATCTTTAGGGTACACATTGATATAAATTTCTATCTTTGAGGGTGTAAATTGAGATTCGAACAATCTTTCGGGGTGCAAAATGAGATTAACCCAAACTTAAAATCTGAAGAGAAAGGAAAGAAAATAAAAAATATATATTTTTATATATGTATTTAGTTATAATGAAAAATTTATGAAAATTTTTTAAAAAAAATTATTTTATTGTTTAAAAGAAAAAAAGTTATAAGAATTTTTTTAATTACCAAAATTATACTAAATTAAATATGTTTAAGTTAAAATATTTAGAAAAAAAATGGCTTCTAATCTAATACTGGGTCAAGGACTTGTCCAAATTATGATTTCATATCAAATTATATAATTAACTTAATTCATACCAAGTTTTATTAAAATTAATAACTAATAAAATATTTTTTAAAAAATAAAGATAAAATAAAAAGTTAGATTATACATCATAATTTTCTTCTACTTTCTTTTTTTTTTTTTTGCAAGAAAAAAAAATTGCTTTATTGTGAAAAAATCAAAGTAAGAAATAAAATTATTTTTATCATTATTTTTTATTTCATGCTAACGAAACACATGCAAAAATTAAATATTTTCTCTTTCTCATATTTTTTTTCATTATCCTTCTAAAAAAAGGACCTTTGGCATTGTTTACAAAAAGACGAACTTAATGGAACGAGGCCCAAGTCTACAAAAAATTTGGGCCTCCAGAAGAACAACTTACTTAAAAGAGGCCCAAACTCTATAAACACCTTCGACCGCAGGAATACATTCATTCGATATTTCAAATCAGGGATTCCAGTCAATATAACATAGTATACTGGCAAATCTCAAGGTAGTTAAAATGATAAGAGGCACGAACAATAAATTTAGATGTTCTTCAAAATAAAAAAGGGATTAGATCAAAATACACGTAAACTAGTCTAGATACCCTGACTATTAAACAAAAAAAAAGTAAAAATTGAAGGTGAGTCCTCCTAAATGGACTTATAATGATTTGACTCCTGAAAAAAAACTTATTTTGAGATAAGTTCATGTTTAAATTAATATGTAAGTACTTAAGTTTACTTATTTTTTAAATCTCAAAATTATCCCTAACGGTGTCAATTTTGTCCAATTATGAAAAGTCACATAAGTTAAATCATTAAAATATATATGAAAATCATTGATTGAGTTATATATAGANCATACCAAATTTATACACCTCCTATAGCACATTGATG